GCACTTACAAAGCTTTCGGAACTACTATTATCAACCAGGGCTCTCACCACATTGCCGTTGATTCGAGCTTTTGTCGTTGCATTATAGAAGGCTTGGCGGGCACGAGCAAGCTGCAAGCATCGCTGATAAATTTGAGTTATTTGACGCGTTGTATTATTACTTTGACTCGTACTTTTGCAGACTTTGGAGAAGTGTCCACAGGAATTGCAAGCGGCGTCCTTGGCAGGGCAGGCATTCCTAGGATGATATTGATTTCCACAAAAGAAACCCTTCTTTTTAAGAGGAGCGTCTACCCTAAAAATTATCTCGGCTATTTACAGTCGGATCACTCTGAAACTTGGTACAAATATGTAAAATGGAAAAAAACTCTCATTTTGTTCGTGTGAATTTTTCGAAAAAAATGAAAGAAAACGTGAAATTCTTAGAAAACGGCTATAAAAGGGGGTACTGTAGAAATGGATCTAGTCCTAGGATTTCCAAGCTACAACATCGAGACACATATCATTCGATGCGTGAGGTCTTCATCTACAAAATGTTCATCCCTTTTTTTTCGAAATTTCAATTTTTGTGGAAGTGGGGGGCATTTTTCCAAAATGTTCGGAAATTTTTCGATTTTCCCCCCGCCGCCCCCTCTTTTTGCAGAATAAAATTCAAACTATAATGAAACTAGAAAAACCGGGATGAACATTTTGTAGATAGTTTATTTACAAATTGAATGATATATGTCTCATTGTTGTAGCTTCAAAACTCTAGGAGGAGATAGGTTTTCCGTGACAATAAGTGTGAATGTTGAGGAGAGCGCAAAAAAGTCCCGAGCCCACTGCAATAGGCGCTCAATGTAGCATAGATACCAAACTAAACGTTTCTGGAGCTTGATTCCACTCAAGGATGGTGGGAGCGACTACATGCGCACCTCTCCCTACAAAGCCCGGAGGCACACTGAGCTACACCTCATAGAAACACTGTATTTGTAGTGCTGGGCAGCGAATTAGCTCCTATGTAATTACTGAAAGAACTCTCCCCCCGCCCCCCTTTCATGAAGTGTCGTGAACGTACAAATCAACGTACAGAGATGGTAATGGTACCGTTGGATAGGCCAGAATGTCAGCTTTAAGATGAGACTAAACACGTAACTGCAGCACAACTCAAGTAGACACTATATTTAAAGAGCTCAGCAGCTAATTAGTTCCGATCTAATTACTTAAAGAACTCCCCCACCCGCCCCCCTTTCATGAAATGTCGTGAAATCATAAATCAACGTACAGATATGGCAGTGGTACCGTTGGATAGGGCAGAATGTCAGCTTTAAAATGAGTATAAAAACCGAATAAGTGAAAATTTTCAATTTTAGGGTAGACGCTCCCCTTAACCGTTGACATGGCAGCTGCAGACGAAGCCGAATTCTCTTCTCTGTCCGCTATCAGTTCGACTGAGTTAGGAACTGCAGCTGTAGGAACAGAGGGTCGTGCGTAAGATTCGGCATTTTGTTGTGCCAATTGCAGTGAGTAAGCCTGATCATACGCGGCCTGGAAATCCAGAGAGTCGTTTGCGGATATTAGGGGAAATTAAACCTTTAATGAAGGAGTCCCTTATCATTTCTTGGCGATAAAGTTCGGCAGTTACATTTTTAAACTTACAATCCTTGGACAGTCTTTTCAGCTTCCTTAGAAATTCATCCAATGATTCTGTCGGTAGTTGCTGGCGACTAGCGAGGAGATGTCTTGCAAAAATTTCGTTAGGTGCCTTCACATAAGAAGCCTCCAGAATTAGCATAGCATCTTCGTAAGTTGTGCAGGCCTCAATCTAATCGTAAACCGTGTGTGATACGTAGTTGATCAATGTTCTTAATTTATCTGGGGCGTTCTCCCCACACTCGACAATGAAATTCTGAAAGGTTCGCTTCCAGTGTTTCCACTCCTTAGCAGCCGTTGGAGTGTTTGGGTCCAAGTCGAGCCTTGATGGCTTCAGTAGTTTCTCCATTGGAATAATTTGTTTGAATAAATTGTTGTAGAATAAGACGACTTGGTAATCCAAGCATTATTCAAACAAATGTCGAGTTACCTGAAATTAGAATAACAGACATGAAACACTGATGATTAACACACAACGAAATATAACGAACAATAGAAGCAATATTACAGCGTAATCAAAGTTAGCTATATACATGGCGGAGAACTTACATTACATCACGGAAGTAGTTAAGACCGTACAGTTTGACAGAAACGTGGACACTGGCACGGTGCGAGACGCCAGGAAGCTAACGTCTGGTCTTCATCTTAAAGCCCGGTCCACACGCTCAGTTTTACACAACGATTTGTCTGCGCAGTTCTAATCGTTGCAGATAAAATCGGTACCGTGTGGACGCTCTAAAAATTGCAACGATTTCATTCCGACTTAAAACTGCGCAGACAAATCGTTGTGAAAACTGAGCGTGTGGACCGGGCTTAAGATGAACAAAACTCGCATATAATACATCCTTTATTACCACAGACTGGTAAAGAATGGACCCGGAACCCATTTTGCAATAAACCTGGCAAATCTAGCATGCCTGTGAAAGAAGAAGACTAATTGCTGGATATTGCAAATGACGGCAGCCTTAAAACTATGTTCGAGAATACAACTCTGCCGGTGTTCTGGATCAAAGTTATGGCGGAGTACCCTGAGATTGCCACCACAGCAATAAAATTCCTATTGCCATTTCCTTCATCCTGTGTGAAGCGGGGTTTTCTGCAGTGACAGCTACCAAAACGAAACAAACTTGACATCAGCAATCACTTCGGGTGTCACTATCTCCTATGGTCCACAGATGGAACCATCTCGTTGAAATAAAACAAGCTCAGGGTTCTCATTGATTTATCATTCAGTTAAAATAAAAAAGCTACAATCAATGTCACCCTCCCCCCCAACCTATAACCTAGGTGGGCCGCGGTGAAATTATCAAACGCTGACCAGTCCGCGGCGACAAAAAGGTTGGGGACCACTGCATTAGTTGACTAGTTATCTGGTGCTAAACTTGGCACAGGAGCAGCAGCACTCGAGTATGCTGGCAGGTACTGGACGGGAGAAGAGCGTGGAAGTGTGGAGGTGAAGGGCCGTCGCTAGGAGCCCTGATGCTGGTAGTAGAATATAGAGGGTGAGGAGGCATAGTCGACGCCCTACCATTATGGTAGGCGGTGTTCTTCATCCCTATTGGAATCCCTGGGAATCGAATAGGTGATGAGACCGAGAAACGCGTGGGTCCGTCTTGAGACACTAGATAGGGGGGTGGTAGATAATTTGTACTTTAGAGGAATAGCGAGCGACGGAACAGGCGCTGCAGCCGGCCCGCCAAGGGGCAATTAGGTTCCCGGTTCGCTCTTATGAGACATGTTTGAGAATTGGTTGACGACGCGTTGATGACCGCGTGTCGAGAACATCACACTCACAGGCTCGAAGCTACTCACCTGAATGTTCAGGTGACTGGAATATCGAGACGCTTTATTGCGTCTGGGGCCATGGTAGCTGGACTGTTGTTGCATGAATTTATTTTCTGCGGGTATTGATGAACAACTAGCAGAACGCGCTACGCTATTATACGACCAGCCTGCTTAATTTCTGCTGGCCTGATTTGCAACGTTTATGCTTCCAGAAATTCCACGCATGGGAATGACAAGATCCTGCTTGTTGATCAACGTTGTTTCCATCACCATTGTTTTCTCGTACACGGTTCGTTGAGCTGTTATGTACAGGTACGGCGTAAATTGGTATGGCGACTGCTAGCGTTTTGGTGGTTCGTAGAGTAGGTTTTAGGACGAGCGCCCCCTCGGGGACCGGACGAGGATCCCCCTCCCCAACCTGCCGTGGCCTCACAAGACCCACGACCAGTCGGCACCCCATGGGTTCCACGACCATTACCGTTTGCCGTCATTTCACTATTTATCCACTATTGCCGAGGCTCCTCACTCTGATGCACGACCTGGAACCTTTGGTTATCACAGTGTGGTGATCTGCATTACTTGTGCATACGGAAAATCATAACTAGATTACAATTTTCATTCATTTGCAGATCTGTCTCGACAATAGAAACTGTTCACACAAAACTGTCAATAATAAATCTAATCTAAATTATATTCAATCTGAATAAATATTTTCTAAAGTAAGGGTTAGTTAGTTAAGCATTTAATATAATGATAACCTACTAATAGCAGTGGAAAATAAATATTTTCGCTCAGAAGATCTGTAGAGATAAGGAATAATAACTAATTAAGTGCTTCAAACTTAAGCCGCATTTGTACATTAATAAAAACCAATCCACCTGTGATTTGACGTTGGCATTACTTGCATACATCATTGACAAGCAAAAGAACTTATGATATTCAAATTTAGCCGGGCAACCCCAATCAAATTACACTCCTCAATTTAATTTAGGCATATTTACAAGTTTTTATACGAGCCAAATACTTGCTGCGTCGATAGCTTGAAAAGCCGTCGGCGCAGATATATATGATGAACTTCGTGTGCGACGCATTTACGTGCTCTTCAAAATGTGACTTGCCCGAGGTGTAGGCACAGTATGTACATTTGTATACTGGCGGAGACCGAGACCGGGCTGCACGTCGTGGCCGTCTGCAAGTAAGAGACATAAGCAAATGCAATTATTTCACGTTACTCACTGTACATCTGGCGTCATCGGTTAGTCATTGAAGCGAATCTTAAGCACGACTCTCTGGACGATACTATCGTCATCCTTTATACCATCGTCATCCTTCCTTATAACATAAAATTCCATATGATTAGTATCAATATTTCCATCCCTGGATTGGAAATAAAATTATTTACTTTGTCAATTGATTCATCCATTGTCTCCGACTTAACGTTGCTGAAAAAAAAACATTGAAAGCATTTAAATTGATTTTCAAAAGAGAATTTAAATTGAACTCACTGGAAGTCTGGAACGTCCTGAAGCGCCAGCTTCAATTTGCCGTTTTCCTCCCTCAGCCGTGCCACGGGAGGATGAATACCAGTATCTGGTCAAATGCTCATTTGTTGAGGTAAGTCATTCATTGATTGCGTTCTTGTAATAAATTCATTCTTTGTCCATTTTTCATTTGTTACTTTTTTACTATGGATTTTTCTCCAATGTCACGATATTGGCTTATGGCCAAACCTCATCAGGCAAGACATACAGCATGGGCACAAACCGAGCTACCGAAGACTAAAGAGCTAGACACAATTAATACAGGCCCGTAATTGCTAATTTAGACTAACGTAGCGAGAGTAAACAAAGGTGGCTACACGGAACAGCTAGTATCTCAATTTTCTCAGTGGTACGTCACCCGGGCTAGTGGAGATGATAGAGTCCTAGGCGAAGCTGAGGGCGGTCTGGCTGTTGCCGTTGGTTGCAGTACACTTCACAGAGTCGAGGATGCTACGTGAATTCTTCTACGCAATCGTTGCTTCGGCAGTCGTCGAAAACACGAGGATGAAATAAGTCTCTTCTGTGCAGGACGTTCGTCGCTGAGCACGAATAGGAAATAAGTCTCTTCTGAGCAGGACGTTCGTCGATAAACACGAGGATGAAATAGTCTTCTGTGCTGGACGTTCGTCGATGAACATGAATAGGAAATAAGTCTTTTCTGTGCAGGACGTTCATCGATAAACACTAATAGGAAATAAGTCAAGTCTCTTCTGGGCAGGAAGTTCGCCGATAAACACGAATAGGAAATAAGTCTCTTCTGTGCATGACGTTCGCTCCTGGAACAAGGGAAAAAATCTATACCGTAGTGGCTAGTCCTCGAATTACTGCACCGACCATCAGCTTGGTCACACCACTACGGCCGGATGCCTCAACCTCCAGCACTGAACTTGATTGATTCTGACAGCGCTTCGGGCCGCCCGCTTCCTAGACTAGCCTCCTCGCACTGACTGCTCTGCTCTTATATCCGCCGCCGGTATCGCGCACGCGTACCAAACTGCTCAGCTCCTCACCCTAAATTTGAATTCTATACTCCTACCCTCTTATATTATTCTCTTTTCCTAATTCCTAATCATCCTATCAAGAACCCTAAAAAAAATAATGTCGGCTAACCTACAGTATTTTTTATATATTCCAATTATATTCAGTTAATTAACGACGTTTCCATCACCATTGTTTTCTCGTACATGGTTCGTTGAGCTGTTATGTACTGGTACGGCGTAAAGTTGTATGGCGATTGCTAGCGTTTTTGTGGTTCGTAGTGTAGGATTTAGGACGAGCGCCCCCACGGGGACCGGACGAGGATTCCCCACCACGACCTGCCGTGGCTTCAAGAGACACACGACCAGTCGGCACCCCACCGGTTCCACGGCCATTACAGTTAGCCGATATCTCACCATTTCGTTTTCCAAGTGTTACACTTCGTAGATAGGAACACAAATGCAGGAGGTCTTGTCCAAGTGTGTGTAACACTTTTTTTAACCAACGTCGTGAGTTGGAACACGATCTCACCTCGAGAGCTACCGATGCGCACAAGGCACATACGTAAGCTTGAATGCCCGAGTAGGGAACAGACATCCAATATATGCCTTCCAGAGTAGGCATAGGACGATCCTCGACCGACTCCTGGAACTAATTAGAGACCAGTTTCTGTCACAAACTCCGCCCTATTTTGACCATCTGATCTCTAATCACAACCCAGTTATCTGCGATTTATGATTTAGTGAACAATTCTTTCTTACGAAGGGAATATTGAAATCTTTCACGTTGCTAAAGGGTCAAAATAATCATGTTGGCCTCAAACTGAATCAAAGAGGTGGCATCTAAGCGTTTCATAGATAACAATCTTTTGTTAGTGCAATTGGAAACAGCTGTATAGGCATATGAATTCTCTTGGAAACAAAGTCATTGTTTGGTGTATCCGATTTCCGAACGAGGTTCCTCACTCTGATGATATGAAAGGTTTTCCGTCTCCAACGTTCTCTAAGTTTCACGGGAAGTTTGCTCACTAAGCTCATTATTTGCTTGGGATTCTGTAGCTGATAGTTCATTGCTAGAGGCGGTAAGTAGGACGTCGATACAAGATTCATCGCTGGAGGCGGTAAGTTTGAGTAGACTTCACCTAATTATCAGTTCTGGGGCCGTATTATCAAAAGTTCGTAAGAACGCAAAATCGTCTTATGAGAGGCGTAAGTGCTGACTTGACGTAACTCTAGAGGTGGTATTATCAAAACATTGGCGCGGGAACCTACGTAACGTAACTGTACGCCTGCTCGGATATGTCGTAAGTGGAGTTCCACATACAGTTCCGATCGATGTTGACGCTTCCGATCGACCTTGACGCTTCCGATCGACCTGTCGATTTTGTTGATGCTTCTGGAACGCGTTGTGGCCCGACAGCTGAACAGCCATCTTCAGCAGTCCGGTTTCGTTCCTCGCCTCAGTCAGCATACCGTTATCTCCACTCGACGGAAAGCGCTGTGCTAAAGGCGCTTCCAGACATCTTGAGGGCGAGCAGTAGACCGCGGCGACATTGTGGCATTACCTTCACGCGACCTGTCGGCCGCGTGTGACACGGTCGACCACGCCACTTTATTGCGTCGACTTGACGTATCAATCGGCCTGCGCGGCACAGTGCTAATGTGGTTCGAGTCCTATCTAGGCAAAAGATTCCAACGCGTAAAGGCCCGTTTACAATAGTGGCAACGACATGCGCTTTGAGTTGTTTGCTGCAGTGCCTCACCGCGCACAACCGTTCACACAACTTTTGTACACGGTAGTTCGAGACCGCGCGCTTTGAACACTAGTTGCCTCCTAGACGTCAATGAGGATGGTGTTACCGAATTTGAGCTGTGGGCCATTGTTGTCGGGTGGGCTGCGGTCCGTCATTCTTCGCACTATGCCAGTTGTAATTGAGAACTTAGCATAGGCATCATAATTAGAGAAGTAGCACATTCAAAAAGATACAGTTTATAAAAAATATAGTCTATTCTTAAATAAAAAGCTCCAATATTCGTACCGATATTACATCATCCCTTGAAATCGCTAAACGGTATTCATAAATTGTCAGGAGTTGCTAAAATCACATAAACCAAACACGTCATGTAAAAATAACTTATCATTTGTATTGCGATTTTTGTACTCCTTTGACCGAACACTACATAGGCATTCATGCTCTCTATAAAGATCAATTAGGCCAGTGGTTCCCAAAGTGGGCGATATCGCCCCCCTAGGGGCGGTGGAAAGATTTTGGGGGGCGGTAAGGAAGAAGAAGGCGGTAGGGGGGCGATAAGGGGGCGATAGTCCGAAGTCGAAGTCAGAATTTCGAACGTTTGTTTGAGCATATGACGAACGCAGCATATGACTCCCAGCGATGGTTTTGTCACCCAGATCTGTTTTTTAACCTCTCCTGTGTTTACGTCTCAGACAAATTAACGGCCGGTCTCACGACCAATTTCCAAATTCGATGATCAAGGAATATCTCTCAAACTAGTGAACTTAACTCGATGAAACTTAGTACCTACACGTATTCATTGGGACCTGGCGATAATGTTTACCGGGTAGCTCGTGAAAATTGTTTGAATTTTGCCATCGTTTGTTTTTGCCTGAGTTATATGGCAATACGGGCCTAAATTCACAGTTATCAAGTAATTTCTTCAAAACTACTGAACAGATTCGAACGAAATTTTGAATTTGCAGTCCTAACTACCGAACGGTAATGTTTAGCTCCTGAAAATTTTTTCGATTGTGCCTTCGTTGCGAGTTTTTTTTTTTCATTTCCCTTTCATTAGTGATTCAAACAGCAATACGTGTTTAAATTCACAGTAATCAATAAATTTTTCCAAACTGCTGAACAGATTTGAGCGAAATTTAGTATTTAAATACTTAACCTCAGCTACGGTGATGTTTAGCTCGTTAAAGTTTTTTCGTTTTGCCTTTGTTAGCGAGTTCTACGGCTATACCTGTAGAAAGACCGGCCTGTAGAAAAGCCGGTCGTTCCTCCTATATCTGTATAACTCGCGAACGAAAGCAAAATAAAAATTGTCACCAGCTAAACATCAGAGTTGAGAGAGAGGTTAGGTAATTATATACAAAGTTTCCATGAAATCTGTTCAGTAGTTTAGAAGAAATTTCTTGATCGCCGCGAATTTAAGTGATAAATTACCCGGCGATACGGGCCGAATATAAGGAAGTGTGAAATCAAGAATGACGGTGAAATAAAAAAAAACTCGCAAACTAAGGTAAAATCGAAAAAACTTTTATAAGCTAAAAATTATATACCGTTTGGTAGTTATGCATGTATATTCAAAATTTCGTTCAAATCTGTTCAATATTTGGAAGAAATTCTTTGATCACTGCGAATTTCGGCAAGTTTCGCAATATACGCGTAACTCACGAATGAAGGTGAAATTAAAAAAAAAAGTTACGAGCTAACATCACCGTTTGGTTTTGATGAATACGTGTTCCAAGTTTCATAGAGCTGCGTTCATTAGTTTGGGAGATCTTACTTGATAATTGAATTTGGAGATTGGTCGTGAGACCGGCTACAAGTCCGGCGTAAATTCGCCCGAGACGTCCTAGGTTTCTAGTGCTGAAACAGTTAAAACAACTGAAAAACACATTGGTTCACTAAATGGGGTTCTACTTGTGAAATACACCTTTGTGTTTAGCCTTTCTCTTTTAGAAATGCAGCGTACTAAATTTCAAGAAAGAGGCGTATGTCTGTGGGGGGCGATAGAAATTCACTAGGGAGCCAAAGGGGGCGCCAGCCTGAAAAAGTTTGGGAACCACTGAATTAGGCTCTCTACTAGAGAGTGACTCCAAACGAGAGTGGTGTTAGTCGACATTTGGAGTGCCGGACCAGCGTACACTATCAACCTTACTAGACCACAGACATCTATCTACTAACTAAGAATTTCAAAGAAAATAATAGTCCACAAAATTCATATCTTTGTAGAAAACGTTTCGGAGACCAGCTCCATAGTCAGTTCGTAGAATCTAGAATCATAAATTGATACATTGAAACCATAGAACGAATTGAATTTCTTTAATTAATATATAGATTTTTAATTTTATTTAAATTTTTAATTCAATTTAAATTCTTAGTTAATTTGCGATTTAAGCATACAAGTGATATCAATTCTTTAATAGCTATCTACTAAGTGCCGCTCTTGTGTTTCACGAGGCATGGCCCCTGTCAATCGCTAGCTCGTCAATCGGTCAAGAAGCGCATGCAGAGGCTGCAAAGCGCCTCTGCATGCGCTTTGAGGCACTTGACTCTCGTGTGTTGCCCCTAGTGTGAACGGGCCTTTAGATGCGGGAATTCCTCTTCTACGCCATCGTTGGTCAATGGTCACGTGCGGCGTACCACAGGGATCAGTTCTCGGCCTGATCCTCTTCCTGTTATATACTGTCGACGTATTGCATGTAATCGATTCACATAGTTTGCATCCACATATGCTCACCGACGACACCCAAATTCATGGCTACCGTGCACCGGCTGACGTCGGAGCGTTGCAGGAACGAATGTCTGTCTGCTTGGGCGCCGTCTCAGACTGGATGCGTTCCAACCGACTCCAGTTAAATGCCTCAAAAACAGACATTATTTGGTTTGCGACTGCTCGGCGCCAGCATCAGCTTCCGGCTAACCATGTTCGCGTGTGCAACGAGTTCGTAAGGCCTGCGGCCGCAGTTAACACCCTGGGAATTCTTCCATTCGAGGCCCTCGCGGTGGCGCTCGTTCTGACCAGATTAGACTAAGGTAATGCCATACTTTATTGAACTTCCGACCACGGAATTTAACAAAGTACAATCCGTAATGAACGATGCTGCTCGACTCGTGTGCAATAAGCGCAAATTCGATAATGTGATGCAGATAATCATACGCACAGACCTAGAATTTTGGCAACAAAATTACAAAAGTCATCTGCTCTGCCAGCCTTCGTATCTCGTCGAAAATAACCTTCACGGTTCGTGGGATGATGCCGGCGTCATCCACGCTCCCCCCTCCGTGGTAAAGGTCTTTACCGACCCGGATGGCCCGTACGCATACGTTGAAGCCGTCAAGGGCTGACCAAACATGCACACCTCACCTTTCTCCCACTCGAGGACCTCTAATGATGAATCGGAAAGGTGGTTAACTCGGATAATGTCAGGGTACGGCAGGAGCTTCATACGGCAAAAAAAACGTACGTTTCCTTGTCAAGTGCAAGACTCGGGCACTATTCAAATGTTAGTAATGTACAACTCGTTTCTTGTTCAATGCTAACCGTTCTCTGCTCCCTACTCCCTACCATTATTTACTAAACACTATATAAACTACTTCAGTCGTCAAGCACTATATTCATCATAGTCTGTCTACTTGCACTTATTGGAATGTCGGTTGTATTTTAAAATCCCAATAATAATTTTTAGACTCCTGCGTCTCGAAATAATTTTCTCGAAATGAACCGGGACAGACGAAACGAGACGAGAAAATTCCGGGAAAAAAATAACGGGACAGAGGGTAAAATTTGTCCCGGAATAAACGTATGAACCGAGACAAGACTTCTGTCCCGGACTTTAAAACTTGTGTCCCGGTAAATTATGAACCGGGACGAGACNTCACATAATCTACACGGTATTTGTTCAACTATCTTACTTTTAAGATTAGATATTACCCTATCTTCATTCTGCATAGCTATCAATCTAGTTGTCGAAATGCCCGAAAAGAATGGCACACACTCGATACATGAATCGGTCTCTGACAGGTCATCTGAATCAGAATTATCAGACCTTACGTCTAAAACACCAGCAAAACACACTGTCATCGCATGAATACAACGAGAACATGAAATTAGATCTACAATTTGTTTACAGTCTACATCAAATGAAGTCAAATCGGTTCTAACACTTAAGCAAAATGTCCTGAAATCAACAGTCACCTTGTTTAAAATCAAGAAATTAGATCCTAAAATACAACAATACGGCAATTCTGAGCTCTTTACAATCGCAAATGGTACTGCATGAGGAAAATTTTTATCGGAAATCGTCAATTTTAGTTCCACATACCCTAGCACATTAGTCGTTACTCCTGTCTCTTATACACATCTAGATGTGTATAAGAGACAGCGTCTCGGTATCGTCCCGGAATTCCAACGGAAGGCTGAAAATTGTCCCGGTTTTTATTGCGAACCGGGACAGAGCCTGTTGTCTCGTCTCGTCTCGTCTCGGATTAAAAAAAATACCAAACGCAGGAGTCTATAATTTATTGCAACTCTTTACTTATGTAATAATTCGCTTGGGTTTTCTACATCAGCTTTGGCACATCACAGGAAATAGATGACGAGTTCCCACATCATCTTAATTACAGCACAAGGCATGACGGTAATACAACTTGCTTAACTACATCATTCAAATTCCTACCTTTCCTGTTCAGGCCTCACCAAAACTTCATTCTGAAACTCAAATCTCGGATAACTAATGTTGGGTTTTGCGGCCTTCTGGAAACAACCTTTTAACTTTGGATCACTCTTCTGCATGCGTATCATCTCAGTTGTACTAATATTATGAACATCAATTTGAACGGGCCTGCTGTTCTGCCAAGTAGCACGGGAGCGCAGCCGTGCACCACCAATTTTGTGCACCAATAAGCCCTGAATCGAACGCCTTGGATCTCTCCGGACATCCCCCAATCAGCCGTGAACCACTCGGCTTTGTCTTCCTCCGGCCTCGCATAGAACCTGCCGTGCACCACCAGGCCGCGGATCGAATCTGACTTCCGGGCATCGTTAAATTACGTAAATTTACGTTCACCGCATCTGAGGTAGGCTTGCAGCTCATTGGCTCGCTGGTTTACATCCATGAAGGGGTTTGGTCCCTGTGGCTTTCAGCAAGTAATCATGTTGGCTAATTTGCTCTGCAGCATGCTTGCGCACTGGGTGAAGTATGACAATTATTCTGGTGTTCGGCAATGCTGGGTTATTTCAGTCGTCCCTCTGAGGTTAGGTTTCAGATAGCATAGTTATGTTTCAAAATTTATCGTCCTTCGACAAGTGGACGTTCGACCGAGGGCTGGTTCGACCCACGGGCTAGATACGGACGGCTTGAAGTGTTGAAGGCTACGTTCCGGAAGGCAGGAATCATGATGGTCCATTACATCCAGGGCAGTGGTGGTCATCGGCAGGCAACCCAAGTAGCACTTGTAGGTTCTGCCTCCCTATGCTTTTGACCTCTCGTCTGAACATGACACGCGTATTCAGTATTGTTTACCCTGCCCGAGCTTCGTTCATTTGCTAACCATTCGTCTCCACAAGCACATTTGGCTCCTTTCACGTTTCCTGCCAAAACATCAAATGGCAAGTTGGGCAGGCAAATGGCATCTACACGTCCTGACAAGAAGACCGACTTCAAATATTTTAGCCTTGTGTGCAAAAACTTTTCTACCATCAGCAAATTTCAAACATACTTTGTTCAAGTTATCTATCTTATCTTTATCCACAAGCTCAGTACGTATACGCACAGATGTGGACCCTGTGTCTCTTAGAACACGGACATCCTTCCCATTGCAAAAGCAAAGCATAAGCGGTAAATTGTCACAAAAATTATAAAAAAATTAATTATTTTTTTTAGACCAACAATGTTTCGCGTAGTTTCCTCTACCACCACATTTATAACAACTGGTAGACTTATCGAGCTTTGCATCAGTGTTTTTCCTTCCGGCAGAATCCATCGCCAGGCTGCTCACTCCAAAACGACACATTTTTGCTATGTGGCCAGACTTGCCACATACATATCAGGATCTCTCAACTGACGATTTGGCAGCACATGAGGATTGACACAATGAAAGGTTAGTAGATCTTCCCGTTGATTTTCCATGAATTGCTTGGTATTTATCTGCCAGCGTAATGACTTCATCCAGAGGCAGAACAAAAATATTACTTTCCTTCAGATATTCCGCCAGAGGCTTTTCCACGCAATGTAATATCTGATCTTTCACGATCATATGCCTCAAGTTCTCGAATGATGTCCCCACATTAGCCAAAGATTCCATTTTCGATAAATTCTCCTTTAGGAATGGAACAAATTGTGAGAATGACTCTTCTGATTGTCTTGCTTGGTGAAATCTTCGTTGGTAGTCATAAATGGTGAAGCCAAAACTACGAATAATGAGATCCTTCACTTGTGAATACGTGAGATCGGCTGGTAATGTATCTAGGAATATGCCGACCTTAATACTAGTGAATCCATTCATTATAGAGCTGGTATCGCAATATGTTCGGGCCAATTATTGGCTTCCTTCACCTTGTGGAATGTTCGCAAATAAACTGCCACGTCTTCACCTTCCTTGTATGGATTAAGCTTAATTAAGGAATTGGTAGATGAAGACAAGGATGAACTTTGAGGTGCACTGGCTTCCAATCTTAATTTTTCCAGTTCCAATTCTGTCATCTTGATTTCATGCTCTCGCTTCTTCTCTTCCCGACTCTGTAACCTGGACTCTCTATCCAAGTCTTCTTGTCTCCTCCTCTCTTCTTTAGCACAACGTTCTTCCTCTTTCGCAGAGCGTTCCTCTTCCCGTCTGATCCTTTCTGAAACATACTTCTGTAATGCGGCTCCACTATAACCAAGGCTGCGACCATCTTCAATGAACTGAGATTCACTCATTGTTAGGGGCAAAGTGCAACACCTAAGTCACGTGATCCAGATTTAATTTCACCAACCACAGCTGACACGCATACTGACCACCATTCGTAATAATTCGCTTGGGTTCTCTACATCAGCTTTGGCACATCACAGGAGATAGATCACGAGTTCCCACATTATCTTTATTACAGCAGCAATCAGTATGTACAAATATAACATGGATCAGAAGGAGACTTCCGACGAGGATGAGATTGTAAAGTCAACAACCTTAATATCTAAAATAACTCGTCCCTAGTAAGTTCCGGTCCGCAATAAAGTTACATCCGTAATGTCGGGATAACCGCTATTTTGTAGTATAAATGACTAAATCCTTACAACTTACACCATTATTAGACTAAACCTCCAACACCCCCACCTGCAATTGCACTGGATGCCAGCTGTGCAATGAAGCAGAAACTGTAGTGCTCTCTGGTCAAACCATGAGTGAAGTTATTAATAATGATTATAATAATAGCGCTTTCAGCGTATATTAGGCAGTAGGCCTGTCGCCGATTCTTAACATCGCAGAATATTTACAGCTTGTCGCGGCCTCTAACGCGCAACTCATTGCTCCAATTCTGCTGTGCTTAAAAGCCCGGCCTCCTTGCCGACTCTGACCAGGAACTGGCGCACAGAGCTGGGATCGAACCCGCGCCTCTCTGCGCCAATATTGGTATCTGAACTTTATATTGAACGTTAAATCACGGATCACTCGACGAAGTAGTGGTAAATAATGCTAGCCTTCGAAGATAATTTATAAATTAATGAAAACTAACATTCTGCCAAAACAGACACTATAATGCACAGAAAAACTTACGCTATGAATTATTTTGATCTCATTTACTAATACTTTTTCGTAAATTTAATCTTATTTGCTTTTACTTAATAAATCATGATAACGTGACATGGCGAACTGCAGTGCACTTCATGATCATTTATACAAGCTTTAGACGAAAATAATCCCTAAAATTAAAAAATACTTGAATGAAAGCCAAGTAGTAAAATTGAAATTTATCAGAAAATAATAATTATTGAACTGTGGCATGATTTCAATGATAAGAAATTTAAGAATAGAATTTACAATTGGTAACGACATTATTGACACTTGAATTGTTTACACTGTAAAAGGAGGGATCACTCCGACTCTAAAACTGTAATACATCCTATTATAAACAATTAAATATAAACTATAACCAAGTGTATTCCTTAAAACGAAATAGGGACAAATCTATTATATATATGAGTACACATATATAAAAGAATTCCAGTAACATGTCATTCGATCTATCAACGCCATTTGCAGAATTGCTTAACTCTGATAATTTAAATCGATGAATTGTCTGGTCATTAATCGCCATCGTGGCGATTAATGACCACAGTAAAAGATAATGCGAAAATCACAAATAATGCTAAATCAGTTATAATGCATTCTCTGGTAAATTATAATACGTGTTTTAGCAGGAAAATTCTGCCCTCTAATACTAACATATATATTTATAAATATTTATATACGATATCTGCTGCTTGCAGATCAGCGGTGCTCATCTCTATCATGTCGAGATATTTCTTATCAGTGGCTGATGTTACGATAATACTCTTATCAGCTTGACTAGATAAACGAAGCCTCTGCAGTTGATGTAGTCTCTTCTCTATAGTGGTTTAGTTCAGGTGACACAACCAAATTCATTATCACGTTTGATGAAGTCATTTTGTATCAGTAAACAATCAATTATGGTGATGTCGACGCTGACATAATCAAATTTGAGTTTATCATTCATTGAGGTCAGTTGCAAAGAATAGCGCAAAAAGGATTCAAGCTTTCACCTACAAATCAAAGCGGCACAATACTGCGAAAGGGGGAGGATCTTTTCATCTCCCAGCTTACAAATCCCTCGTAGTTTCTTTCCGCAGTATCACTTTTTTTCTTTCACACATATTGATATTCGGTTTACAGGAATTTTGTATATTTCAAAATGCTTTCGCGCAAATAATCTCGTTTAATATTTTTCGCATACGTTGACAGGGATATTGCTCCATGAAAACTAACAGGATTTTTGTCAATGAAGGATATTCAATAAATTTATTAGTTTCGGTTCTTTTCCGTTATGAGATTTCGGTCTCTTTTGTATTACACGTAACGCGCGTTCAGAACTTGTCTTAGCTTATACAAATGTATTGCTCATGCTTTATCATTTAAGTTTCTGTTCCATACTTCTAATCTATGCAGAGGAAAGAAGAAGTTAGAGAAATAATCGGTTTCTTTTATTTTGATGCAAGCGAAGAATTCCACGATTAAATTTTGCGGTCGTTGATGGCAGGGAGCAAGTGTTCCTGCAACAGCTGTTGACCATGGCGTGGCTGGGGCTGAACTGCTGCGGGAATGAACAAGAGCCGGAAAAGCTTAACCGCGGCACCAACGACGAAATCGTGAGTAATTAAAAAGGGTTGAAAATGCTCGACCAACTCACTAAAGAAAGGAATCGTGAGCAATTAAAAAGGGTTGAAAATGCTCGACCAACTCACTAAAGAAAGGGATCGTTAGTAACTGAAAAGGGTTGAAAATGCTCGACCAACTCACTAAAGAAAGGAATCGTGAGTAATTAAAAAGGGTTGAAAATGCTCGACTAACTCACTAGAGAAAGGGATCGTGAGTAACTGAAAAGGGTTGAAAATGCTCGACCAACTCACTAAAGAAAGGAATCGTGAGTAATTAAAAAGGGTTAAAAATGCTCGACTAACTCACTAGAGAAAGGGATCGTGAGTAATTAAAAAGGGTTGAAAATGCTCGACCAACTCACTAAAGAAAGGGATCGTGAGTAATTAAGAAAGGTTGAAAATGCTCGACCAACTTACTAAAGATAGAAATCGTGAGTAATTAAAGCGAGCCAAAAAATACTAGATCAAGCCACCAACGATGAAATCAAAAGGACCTAAAGGGAGCTGTCATTTGCTCCCACGCCATATTTAAATCTACTCTTTTTTTAGCTGCAAAAGTGATCATCCACATGGAAAAGACTACCATCGACGATTAAATCGTGAGTTATCAAAAAGATTCGGGAATGCATGACTAAGTCAAAAATTACTGAATCATAGAAGGAAGTAAAAAAATCTGTCTGGCGGCCAACAAAATTTCCTAATAAAGTTTGCGAGATAAAGACGCTTGTCTAGATTTAGCTGTGGGATTTTTGAACTTAATAGATAGTTACAATAGATAGCTACATTTACTTTAACATATGCTGGATATATTCGCCATATCAATAGCGATAACAAGTAAATATTTTTAGCATGAAATTCACAGAAACTGTGATGTCAGAGTTTTGTTCCGTGAAGAAGCGGTAACTTGGTAAGCGGTAAGCGGGTAACTAATCTTGGTAAGCGGATAACTAATTGGTCGACTCGACAAGACTAGTAATAATAGCCGAGTGTACAAGCCTGACTTTAATTGGCCGACTTGGCAAGCCTGACTCAAACTGGTCAACTTTGCGAGCTTGACAGTCAAATTGGTGAACTTGGCAAGCCTGACTGTCAAATTGGTCGACTTGGACGACCAAAGCTCTTGAATCGCACCGTTATCGTACAGATTAACGCTCGGCTCCGAGCTAATCAAAATAGCGATAGCGCAACTAACGTTTCTTCCAGGAAATAGATTTTTCTTACAAATACTGTTAGAGAGAGATATATGCCCTATTTTATCTCATAATATAAGTTAAATTTTTTTACAAATAATGCATGGAATTGTGAGTGCGCTTTACATGAAAAATAAGGAGCAGCGGAAAAATTAATGCAAGATGAACACAGGGTATGAATGCACGAAACGCCCATCAGGTAGTTCGACACAGGCTTAGGATTTAGAATTCCAATCCTATCTGTCATTATAAATAACGCAAAATAAGTTTGCGTTATGCACAATACTACTGACACAAAAACATGATGATGAGTATAACCGCAGACAAACACGTTCGCCGATCTAACGTCAACTGTACCAGCGAATAAATAAATATATAACATCAACTGTACCAGTGAATGAATTAAGTGAATAACGTCAACTGTACCTTGAGAATAAATCTGGCGCTGCGTGCATCAACTCCCAACGCTTTGAGTGCGAACATCACGCTTCAATGGTCTTAATGGTCTCAGTTGTTAATTCAATCAAATTTCCGTTATATATCTTCAATCTTAAGTACACCGCAATCCCTTTGCCAGGGATTTAAGGGAAATTATTTTCTGTCAATATCTGTTTCTAGATAACCTAAGCATGTCTGAAAAACGTTTCAAACAAAGTGATGCGATTAACTGTTGTTTTTCCTTAACACCATGCGGTACACCAACATACTGTATCTTGTGCGCCGTATGTCGCGTGGAGCTACCGCATTCTCTTAACAAAGAATTTTTAGCACTTCTGCGGGACTAAGGAATACATTAGTTACAGACCCAGCTACGACAATTTGTGATCCAAAACCAATAATAGACCTCATTTTGATAAACCAGCTTTTGATACGAGTATTTAATGGCGCTTACTTTGAACAAATTCTGTTTTCAGTGGCATTCGAGGGAATTAGGTTAATACTTGGCCAACTGAGTGTAACTCTAATTATCCAGCCTTTGCTACGAATAACTATGACGACAGCAAATCTTTCAATGAATAAAATGCTAAAATAAAGTGAAAGGTAAGTTCTTGGTATTTCACTTCAGCCAAGCTAACTGCAAAAAGGCAGCACGCAATTCCTTTTTTTTCACCTCAAGGTTTTACTTTTTTGTTGGTCAATTGAATTTTCATTCATTCATGTTAATGGCGCGTCAAGAAACCGTAAAAACTATTATGGACAGAATTCACGTCCGCGTAATCTTTGAAGACGTTTTGCGGAACATGAGTGACGAACAAGTGCATGATGTACGAGCGACGTAGAAGTGACAAATAGAATTCGATGTTAAATCAAAAGACAGTTTTCTTATTATATACATGCTAAAGTAAAGTGCAAATAATTCCTATCATGCAAAAATGTATAGCTTACACAAATTTGTACAGTCCACTTCCGACGGCGGAATGAACATGCATGTAAAAATTCTCCAGTAGCCATGCAGTGTTTTATACAGTAAAATGTGAACTGCATTCAAAACAATTCAGGCGATCCAAGGCTTCGTGAAGGACTGGGGGCGGGTGGCTGTGACGACGCTGGCGTGCGTGGCGACCGGAGGGCTACTGCTGCTGGTGCTCACGTGGCGAGCCTCCTTCAGGTTGTGGTGCACTCACCGGCCCAGCACGCTGGATGTTGCTACGAAGATACTCTGTACGGTAGGTACAATATGTACAGTAAACTAGTTTCCTTCTCCCATAATGTCGTTGAAACAACGTTGCTTACAAGTTTACTCCGTTGGAGCAACGTTGGTGCAATTTGATTCCGTTGAAACAACCTTGCTTATAAGTTGACTTCGGTATAAAAACATTGATGCAATTTGATTTCGTTGAAAAAAGTTAGATTACAAGCGGATTTCGTTGAAACAACGTAGATTACAAGTGGATTTAGTTGAAATAACGTTGATACAAGGTTTTTTTAACGAAATTTTTGTTATTTTAACGCCTGGAAATATTGTTGGCAAATGTGTCCTGAAATTGTTCTACATGTACAGGATATCTACGGCCAAGAGTGGGAGGAAGACGTGGCTTCAGACGTTGCTTCGTCTTCGGAAATCACTAAGGACGGCAAGGTTTTCAGGGCACCGCCCGAGCAGCCAGCGGTCCGCTTCTTCGTCAACAAGAAAATCAAATATGTGTGGGACAACTCAGCGCAGATGTTCATCAGACTCAGGTGGATGCAGTTAATAGCTCACATAATAATAATATCGGTCGTTTACTCATCGAAAATATTTGGTTTCTTCAAATTTGATTCTTTTTTGTTGACACTGCTTTAAAAGTTTAAGCGTTTGTGTGGATCAATACTGTTATATTTTTTGCCTTAGATATTTATTTATGATTTTCAATGCTCCAGAAAATACGGTAAAAAATAAGTACTAAAGTGTTATTATTTTTATTACTCAGATCATACGAGTCGACCCAAAGCCTGCAAGGCATCTACAATAACAGACACGGACTTATCAGCGAAGAAGTAGATCGTCGAAAAAAGTTATTTGGTGAAAATTTGATAAAAATCGAAGTCTTGTCAATCCCTCAACTCCTATGGCAGCAAGTGAGTTCCATTTTGAGTTTCTTGAGCACAAATTTCCAGAGTTGCTTCCAAATATACTTCAGGCCAAGCAAAAACAAAATGTTGCGTTTATGTCTGCGTTGTGATGCGTTCAAGTGTTACGTGAGTGTAACATGTTTCCCGCAGCACTGACGGTTTATTTATTATAGTTAAAAGGCTTATTATGGATATATGAACATAAAATATACTAATGCCCTGCATGAATTCAAACTTTAATTCTGTGCTTTAAATTTCCTAATTTGAAACGTATTGTATCATAATTTAAATCTCTTGATATTAAATCATTTTCTTTTCGGTTATACATTTGCTAATATCTTGTAAATGACATATAGTGTATATCATATCTTAAGTAAGTATAGCTACAGTAATATCAGTAATGGGATTCTCTCCTACAGATCAAAAATCCATTCTACGTGTTCCAAGTTTACACAATAATCTTGTGGTGCTTACAATTCTACTACATCTACGCCATCTGCATCGGCATGCTTTCTGTCTTGTCCATTGCCTCGAGCGTCTGGGAGACACGCAGGGTGAGTCTATATTACAGTTAAACATTTTACTGTTAAATATAATATATGAATGTTCAATATTTGTGCTGTTCAACATAATATATCACTGTTCTATATTTGGTGTGATGTGAGTGATGCCCGAAAGACGGCGCATACGTGATGCAGTCTTTTAGAAAATTAAGGAATTTATTTAGGATTTTCCTCAATCAATACCACTCTGTTACTCATTCACAAAATTGTATCATTTTATTTCGCTGTGAACTCATTATTACATTTTTACCTGGATTCTAGGCAATGAGAGGTTTCTGTAAATTGTAAGATTTTTGTACATATTTAGTTAGTTAATTGTTAAATTTAGTTTCCAGTTTAGCTTCTATTTTCATATTCCTCGCTTTATGGAGGATAATTTTTAAGTGATGCTTATGCTCAGAATTGATGACCTAATATTTATTTATTTGCAGCAAAGTTCCATTCTGAGGGAAGCGATGACGTCTCAGTGCGAGATGACCGTCATACGCAGGAACGGAAGTAAGCTCACTCTCTCACAAGCACCTCCGCACAGTCACCCCCTCACAATCACCTCCTCATAATCATGCCCTCATAATCACCCCCTTATAATCATCCCCTCACAATCACCCCTTCACAATGAAACCCTCACAAACACCCCCTTCACAATCACCCCTCACAATCACGACCTTCACAATCACGCATTCACAATGAAACCCTCACAATAACCCCCTCATAATTACACCCACAGCATCAAACCCTCACAATCGCCCAATTTTAATCACCCATCACAATTACTTCTTTCATTCACAGCCACCCCTCAAAATCGCCTCATAACAATTAAGATCGAGAGTCCACAGTTCAAACAAGTGGACAGATTTGATTTAACCCCCACGCTCGATCTGCCTAGATAAACAAACTAGTTGAATCTAAATGCTTGATTTAGTACGCTTATATTAACAAATATTAAAAAATGGAATGTTTTTTATTTTTCTTTCTGTTTTTCAATTGTAAGCAATAAGGTAAATAGTCACAAATAATTTATTTATAATATATTGAGTCTTTACAATTGTTTATGATAATGTCTGTACTACAGCAGGGCCGACGGTGATGTCGTCGCGGGAGCTGGTGCCGGGGGACACGGTGATACTGCTGGACGGCATGGCGCTCGAGGTGGACGTGGCGCTCATAGACGGAGCAGCTGTCGTGAATGAGGCCATCCTGACTGGCGAGTCTGTTCCGATAATCAAGGTGGGGTGTTTTGTTCAGTAAATGTGGTGTTTGGTAATAAATAATGCGAACGTGTTCGGTAAATGTGGTGTTTGGTAATAAATAATGCGAACTTGTTCGGTAAATGTGGTGTTTGGTAATAAATAATGCTACTTTGTTCGGTAATTGTGGTGTTTGTTAAGAAATAATGCGAGATTGTTCGGTAAGTGAGGGTGTTTGTCAATAAATAATACGAGTTTGTTCAGCAAGTGAGGGTGTTTGTCAATAAATAATACGAGTTTGTTCAGCAAGTGAGGGTGTTTGTCAATAAATAATACGAGTTTGTTCAGTAAGTGAGGGTGTTTGTCAATAAATAATACGAGTTTGTTCAGCAAGTGAGGGTGTTTGTCAATAAATAATACGAGTTTGTTCAGCAAGTGAGGGTGTTTGTCAATAAATAATACGAGTTTGTTCAGTAAGTGAGGGTGTTTGTCAATAAATAATACGAGTTTGTTCAGCAAGTGAGGGTGTTTGTCAATAAATAATACGAGTTTGTTCAGCAAGTGAGGGTGTTTGTCAATAAATAATGCAATTTACTAGAGAGGTTGACTCGGAATTGGTCATTTTGTTTCTTTGTCACTTTGTCTTCCAATTGCTGAACAAACTTTCAAGCAAATTCATGTATCAGTTGATGATGCATGAATTTTCTGGGTGGGTTTAAACTATTCAGATATGGTCACTGCCTACATTGTATTTTATATTCTATTGTACTCTATTGCTTATTTCTCTTGTTTTATAATATTACTGGAATAATTTTTTGAATGCCTCGAAATTAGGTAAGCATTAAAATTCAGGAAAAAACTCATTTTTAAAGACAACTTTATTCCTAAATTGAAATATGTTTGAAAAAGCACAGCAATCGATTCTCGATTTTTAGCTCTCGTTGCAACGACTTCTTATTAGAGTAAACAGACGCTCCTAGAATGCCTCTTTATTCGGTCAGGTTGGCTTGTCGCAGGCAGATAATCCTCAACAGATTATCAACGACAGCCTCCACAAGATGCACATCCTTTACAGCGGCTCTGAGATCCTACAACTCAGGGCTGCGACTTGCGCAATTGGAGTTGTACTCAACACTGGTTGGTTTCCGCGTAATTTATATAAATACGTAATTGAAAAATCTTTTAATGAGTATCCATCATAACGATAATGGGAAAGTTATTTCTCTGTTTAATTTAATTTCGCCTTCGTAGACGTAATTACCGTTAATCGTCGAATTCGCCCTGTGGTATGTCATAATTTTACTCAAATCAGCTCTCTTCTCTCAGCCTACGTAGGCAGTGTACATGGATGCTTTCTCGTATACTTGCTCTGCTATTAAAATATACTGCACAATTCTTGCTCTTTACCAGGACTTTAGTTTAAACCCTTTTTAGCGCATTTACTCATTCCCGGAAATGAAAGGCGCTACTGTGCTAGTCATGTCCGTCCGTCCGTCCGTGACTTCACAGACGGACGGACCAGAAAATGCGCTCTCTGTCACAGTGTCACTCACTGCAATGAGTACTGATCAAAATTTTTTAATTGATCGTAAGTGCGTTTCAACGTGTATGCTTAACACTATGTGTTAAGGGTTCAGCACATGTCGCGGGGAGTTGGTGCGGTCTATTTTATTCCCCAAGCCGATCGCCTTCCACCTCTACTCGGACTTCATGAAGATGCTGGGCTGCTTCGTGGTTCTCGGCTTCGGGGCAATGGCTGGCAGCATCTACATGTGGCTTCACACCGAGGTGAAAATATTTCAATTTATTTTGAGATCTATCGTACATCACAAAAAATCAAACTGATTATTGTTTCAAAAACAGCGCCTTAATACATTTCTTAAATTGGTCCTCGTACATTAAGGAATGTAATGCTCCACAGATGTTCGTTTTTTTACAAGTTTGTGGAAAGTGCGGTGACTGTAATGTACAACTATGATGTACTAATATTATTATTTGTACATCAATTAGTGCGCAATTGATTAAATGCGTATTGAATATTTCACCCTAACACTCCATAACAGTGCATAAAGTTGTAACTCTAAACAACTAAAGTTGTTGTAATACTTAACATTTTAAAATTTGTTAAATTCTGAAAATTTTTCTAATTTCGCAATATTTTAAATAAAACCAAGCTAAAAATTTAGTTCAAATTAATCGTTTACATCTCTTAACACTTCTTATAATGCTTGTTGTATAAATGATTATTTTTTTTCAGCCGCCTGCCACGTTGCAAGAAGTCATTTTTAACTCCTTGGACCTCCTGACTTTCGTGATCCCGCCCATCTTGCCGGCCACCATGACAGCCATCAACGTGTGGGCCCAGAGAAGGCTCAAGAAGAACAACATCTATTGCGTGTCCTCTAACTACATCTCTTTGGCTGGCCCTGTCGATGTTGTTTGCTTTGATAAGGTTAGGTTATTACACTGGATATCAAACTACCGTATGATAGTGCCTACTCCACAAGCGTACAATATAAGAACATTTTATTCTCATTGCGTATTTTTCAATCACCTCATAGATAACGTAATTGATAGGATATAATTTGTGTGTACAGCTACATGACTGTAGTCGTTCACTCTCAAGTGGTTATATAAAGTCGTGTTGACCGCAAAACTGGCGCTATAAAATGGTCGAATGTTTTTTTTCTCCACAGACGGGGACATTAACAGAAGATGATTTGGAACTTGCATGCGTGGTGCCATGTTCAGAGGATGGATTTTTCGAAAAAGAATGTCGCAATCTACGGGACATTTCCGCTGAGCAGGATCTGCTCAGAATAGGCTTGGGTTCTTGCCACACTCTCACCCACTACACCAGTGGGGCGGCACCACACAACCTCATCGGCCATCCAATGGAACTGAGGATTTTTGAGAGCCTAGATTGGGTAGGAAAGTTTATTTCTGATAATATTTAATTTTCTGGAGGCTTTATAAGTGATTCAACTTCAAAGACGCAAAGTTTAATACAGATAACGGGTTATTTCAGTTTTCTTAATTGAATACGATGAGTTATTTCACTGATATTTAAAGAAATGTTAATTTGATCATTATTTTTTCATAGATCTCGTAAATAATATTAGAGATAATAGTTGTACATTAGACTAGATAAAAGCTAATATTATATGAGTTGACACTTGTTATCAGGAATTAGAAGAACGAAAGGACGGCTGCATCAACCCCGACTACGGCATCCTGACTCCTGTGCTGCTGAGGCCCAGTGAGGAGCAGCGCAGCAGCCTCGAGGTGGCGCAGATCAAGACCTTTCCTTTCGACGCCAACGACCAAAGGATGACCGTCGTCGCTCAAATCAAAGGCTCCAGGGAGTTTCACGTCTTCATTAAAGGCGCTGGCGAAACTTTGAAGCAAATCTGCCACCCTTCGAAAAGTTCGTGATATTGCATTCTTATTTTACATGTATAAAAGATAATTTTTTAACGATTCCTACTCGTTGGATTATTATCGATGTTAGGAGGCTGTGATTCAGATTAAAAGCTAACAAATGCCCGACATCTTTTCTTGTTTCGAGGTAAAATTCTATTAAAATTTTCAGTCCCAGGCAATTTCGACGAAGTCCTGACGTGGTACTCGCTGCAAGGGCTGCGAGTGGTGGCATTGGCTGTGAGAAGCTGGAGTGCCACCTGGCATGAAGTGAGACCTTATTTTGAAATATACTCTTGCCGTACAATAAAATACTTTGATATTCATGTGTATTTTGCTGGACAGCTAATTATTCCTTTCGATTTTTCCGGTCATGAATACTTCTAGCGAACTAGAAAGCTCATTCAGTTACCATTTCACAATTAATTCGCACCTTATTCTAGTAGAATAATATCATTGTCTAGTTTGAACCTGCGTGTGCTGGTAATCTCATTCCATATTGAAGGTTGAGAGCAAGCAGAGAGTGCAGTTGGAGTCCGAGGCTCGCCTGCTCGGTCTTGTTCTCTTCGTCAACCCCACCAAGAGGGAGACCCCCTTGTGCCTCAGCATCCTTCACCACGCGCACATCGACACCGTCATGATCACAGGTAACGCAGTTCATTTAATTTTATGTTAATCGACTCCTTCAGCATTACCCATTGTTTGGCAAAGCGAAAGCATTTCCAGAGAGATGTTATTATTTGGAATAAGTTTTTTCGAGACAAAAAATTACGGAATTTTGAATTGGTGCGTATAATTTAGAGTTTCGTATGGCGCCTTTATGAACAAGAATAAATAAATGGTTGAATAGAACCCAGTCCATTATCATACCAATTATCAGCATGCATCCGTTTCCAAATTTAATTATGTTTAATCACCCTTCTTACACGAGAAGTTGCTTTCTTCGTCATCAATTTCTAAACCAACAAAATTTTCCGTGTCATTATTCAATAGAGGGAAAAATGTAAAAACTTTAAGTGTAGTGTAGACTGTAGAGACTAATTTTCATTTGAATGTTCAACTTCGGAACGATGTTGGTAGTAAATGTTTGCTTTTGTCAGGTGACAGCCTTGCTACAGCCATCAGCGTAGCGCGCAGCTGTGGCCTCGTCAAGACTCACGAGCAAATGGTCATCGTGAGGACAAACGTGAGAACTTGTCTTCGATAGATTGGTATTGCGAATATAAATATAACAGATAATCTTGGGGATTCCTCTGGTAACTTCTAAATTTCCTAAAACTGTAATGCTATTTTTTTAACGAGGCTCTGGAATCTCGGCTTCTTGTCGTTTGTTAAAAAAATTTGAAGACAGATATAATTTGATTATAATAATTAATGATATAATTTGGTCAGCTAGTTCAGGGAATAAAAATAGTACTTGTGCAGGTATCAGTAATGTTTAATATGAAGAATTTTAAACTTTAAACTTTATAAATACTGAATTGAAATCACATAAAGTCATATTATACTTATTTGGTCCTATAATGACTTAGTTAACATATTTTCACAGTCAGTAATACAATTTGAAATGCTTGAAAATATACATTTCCTGTTCACAAAGAATTCATTTGTTTACGTGCGTTTAAACTAATATGAATTTTGAAATAAATCAGCGGAGATGTTTAGCTACTCAAACTTAGAAATTTCAAGACGACTCTGCCAAAATGCTCAGCTACTGCTGCTTAAAATGTTCCTGAAATGATAGTTGCTACTGATTGTGGTCAAGTTATGAATTTCTACTGCCTTAATTTGGTTTCACATCTAAAACAATGCTAAAAGAATTTCACTAATTTCCTACCGTCTAATATTTTTGCGTTACTTCAAACAAATGATCGAAGATAGATACTTGAATGTACTAACACTCTTCCTCATCATATGCATTGCTTCACAGCTTACTATTATACTTTAGTCTTGTATATGTATATTTGTTTGACGTAAAAAATTATTATTAATACATTGCAGCAATCCATTCCTCTCTGTAATGCGCATTCATGCCAAACGCTTCGATATGCTAATTAAGTAGCATAAAAACGAGACATTCCATTGCTATAGGTTATGTAGTCTAGGCCTGCAGGAGCTGAAAAAAAGTTAATTAATAATCAATATATTTCATAAGAAATATATTTGAATTAATGAAATAATATATTTATAACTTATCATTGCGGGTTATTTTTTGACATAAAATTTTAATTTTATCTCTTTTGTATTGAGTATAATTGTATACATAAAGTAAAGTATACATCACTTTGATTTGCATTTAGTATAATTTGGGTGTTTATTTTAACGATGGACTAAATTTATTGAATTGACGTTGGAGCTAGTCTCCGAAATGCTCAGGTAGAATAAGATACGTTTACCGTTCGTGTTTTCGATTTTAGTTTTCAGACAACAGTTACTTTAAGAAAATAAATCGAAGCGATTCCTCACATTTACAGTCGACGGGGTCATCAGTCAGGCGGTTGGAAGTGTCCTACAACGTGGCGTTCACAGCTTCCGCAAAGGTATTTACAAAATTCTATTTTGAAGCTCATTCGAGTGTAAAACTGTAATTTTTTGACAAATTCTTCGTTGTTTGGAGTCGAATTTTGGCTTTTGTTAGTTTACGTTGCAACACGTGTATTTTGCTTAGAAAGTAAATTAAATGCTCTGAACATTCTCCGTAGATTATTTACAATTTTTCCTTGCCTAACACGTCATACTCATACACTAAATGTATTGTCAAATGAAATGCTCCTAATTTAGGTGTATGTGTGGTGACCGGAATTCTTTAATTCATCGTTCAGACTGCATTTTCCGTAAAGATGAGGATGTTTTTATATTTTAAGAAAAAAATGTGCAAGTTGAACACAAATGATGAAGTTTTTAAAAAAGTTTTCGGAAACAAGCTTCGTCATTCCTCAGCGAAACTGCCTGCTAAAGTGAGGCATAGTGCGCATCCCAAAGTATTGATTATAAATACGTGCTATTTCTACCGGGACGACTTATTTTTGTTTGTATATACATGCTATTCCTACCGGGACGACTTATTTTTGTTTTTAAATACGTGCTATTCGAACCGGGACGACTTATTTTTGTTTATAAATACGTGCTATTTCTACCAGTACGACATATTCTTGTTCATAATTACGTGCTTTTCCTGCCAGGACGACGACAAGATTGAGATAGCGGAGAAGGACGGCTTGGTGTTTGTAATGGACGGTCACACCTGGGACGACATCAGGAGACATGACAGAAAACTGCTCGCCAAACTGGCGTTGAGAGGCCGTGTGTTCGCCCGCATGAAGCCTGACCAAAAAGTTCAAATCATCGAAGAACTGCGGGACCTCGGGTGAGAGGATTAAAGTTTACTAATTTGCACAAAATTGTTAAATGTGTAAATTAGTTTCCAACCCATGTCGCATAATCCAGCCCATAAAAATTAAATGAAAAATCTGAATAAATACAGACTAAAGAACATGATTTCATCGCCCGTTCACAACTGCAATTATCTTAGCGGTGTTAATGTAGTGCTAGAAGAGACGCACACCCACTCACATGAAGTCATATGGAGGTGATAATCATGTAAAATATACTAATTTCACACCACATATATTTTAAGTAAAATTTAACCACATAAACTTTAAGAACCAGCGAACTAATGCACATCTATTTTCATATCTCGCACGCAGACGTCACGTGGCCATGTGTGGCGATGGCTGCAACGACTGCGGTGCCCTGAAGGCGGCGCACGTGGGGGTGTCGCTAGCAGCGACTGAGGCCTCAGTAGCGGCGCCCTTCACCAGCAAGGACCCCAGCATCAAGTGCATGGACCTGCTCATCAGGGAGGGTCGGGCGACGCTTGTGTCCACATACGCATCCTTCAAGTACAACATCAGCTACGGCTTCGCTTCGCTCATCGTTGTCATGATCCTGTACTCGGTGAGGCGGTCTCATCTTTAGACGTGCAAAAGTTGCTACAGGAAACTTGGTAATCAAGTAATAATTATACTCATTATTATGAAAGTCCAACGTATGAATGAGACGTCGAATTACAACTTGAAACGTTATCAGGCTATCATGTTATTGCGTTAGTCACAGTATAATATTTAAAAGTGTGAGCATAATAGAAATTGGTGTAAGCTCTGATTTAAGCCATGTCCTCGAACCCCCCAACTCGCTGCTCCAATCTTGCTCCAATCTCTTGCTGATCTTATATAACCACTCGGCCACCCCAAGCTTAAGGCAATTTAAGAGCGTATAAATTATAAGTCTCAAGGCCACTCCAGAAGTATTTTCAATTTAAACACACTTTTTAATTTTTAATCATGTACCTAAGTCTCTTATACTTCTAAATCAAGTCATTATCTTCCAAATTTGAACAAATTCAATTAACTTCTCCAAAATTTCTGCTGCAATTCTAGATCCGGACAGAACCTTCAGACGCTCAGTACCTGATAATGGACCTGGTGCTGATCACCGTCCCGTCTCTGGTGCTCGGTAACACAGCCGCCCCACAACTGCTGGGCGTCGAGCGGCCGACGCGCAGGATCTTGCATCCTCTGCACATCTCGAGCATCCTGTCCTTCCTGCTCATACAAGCGGGCGCCTTCTGGCTCTGTTTCTGGTTCACGATGCAGCAGCCGTGGTAGGTGATCTCGTATGCAAAAATTGCTGCAAGAAACTTGGTAATCGAATATAATAAATATAAATCAGAGCTTGGATTCATATTTAACAGGGAATCATCATCAATTATCATTGGAATTATCTATGTCTAATGTTAAACACTCATACCGAGTGCCAGTAACGCAAAGATAACATTACATGTATAATATTACATTTTTTTAAGCAATAAGCTATGCGTAATATTCGTGAAAATTTGGCTTTTTCTAGATCCTGTTTTTTAGGAGCGCCATGTGAAAAACGTTTCGATCGCATTAGTGTTGTTGTTTCATAGGTTCGAGGAGTTCGTATTCGTGCTCGAATATTGTTAAGCCCGCATTCGTGTTGTTGTTTTGTAGGTTCACGGAGTTCGTTTTCATGATCGAATATTGTTAAGCCCGCATTCGTGTTGTTGTTTCGTAAGTTCGAGGAGTTCGTATTCGTGCTCGAATATTGTTAGGCCCGCATTCGTGTTGTTGTTTCGTAGGTTCGAGGAGTTCGTATTCGTGCCGGGTCAACATCCGCACAGTCCGAGTTTCGAGGGCACGGCACTTGTCATCTACTCCTTCTACACCTTCATCAACGGTGCCGTCTGTTTCTCGCATTCCTCGCCATACCGAAAATCATTCTACACGAACCGTGAGTCATTCTTTCCTTCTAATACAAATATAATGAAAAAAAACGAGAAAAAATCTATATTTTTTGAAATATAGAATGCCGTATGCTAAAAACTTCAGGCACTCTAAACAGTTTTTCATCAATGTTGTTAACGTTGCCACAGCACTCAAGTCGCCGTCCTTCAATGGAAGCGATATATTTCATAAACAAAACTCAACCACATCTTTCCGATGCGATCAAAAAAGCTTCGTAGACATTATGTGATTATCGAACACAACAAATCGTAGTTCTGACAATATTATATTTGCGATTTTTAGTGACGAACGGCGAGGTAGGTACAATTTCTGTCGAATGGAGACTCGTGTGTCATTGACGGTAGATCAGACCAAGGTTGAAATTCATGCCATGAAATGCAACCTTCAACGGAATGGGTATATTTTCTGCGTTTTTTATTATTATTGTATTAAATTGCCCCTAATCCCCCGTTTGTAGACATTCTAACTGCCTATCTGCTGCTGGCAACCTCGACCGTGATTTTCTTCACCTTCTTTTCGGGTGAAAATTTCCTCAAGTTTATGAACTTCATCGACATCCCCGACGCTGGCTTCAGATGGGTGCTCTTCCTGGGCGCGCTGATAAACCTGCTTGTGTGCCTTGTATGGGAGGTGAGGGTGCAACTTGAAGTTGATTCTCTTCATTTAATAACAGAAAATGTCATGCATGTAATTTGAAGGTTTACTTTACCAGGAATGCTATGGAACTTGAAACGTTATACCATTTTTTACCTGTACTCTTTCGTTAAAGTGAATAGAAGAAATGTTTTACCGACCGATTCATACTTTTGTAATTTTCGACTTCATTGATAATGGGACAGAACTCGCTGGCGCCAAATAACCCATTTTGACCTCAGATTTACCACAAATTTGAGCAGGAAATCTGTATTTTTTAAGCACTAATACAAATTGCAAATCAGAGGCTGTTCTTGTACGGCGCTATCGCTGAGGGCCTGATGCCGTGGCTGGACCGCGTCCTGCCACCGCGACTTCCCTACCAAAAACTCGAGAAAAAAATACAGAGCGACAACACCTGGCCAGTTATAACTGATCCAAGTCAGTGCTTGCTTATGAAATAATTAAAATAATTTGCTAAATTAAGCTGAAATGATATATGCATTGATAGATGGTCATTACCTTCCAAACCTTCGTCTATATTATTTAAGAGACAAATACAAGAAATGCATACTCGATATTCGAATCAAGATAGCGAAAGCCATTGTATTTGTTGTCGATAAATTTCTAATGCAGGTGATGTGAGAAAAAAAAACAATAAATTCGAAAATACACGGCAAAGTTGAAAGTCAATTATATTATATAACTCTAAACACTAAGAAGAAACAACTAAGCACCTATAAACGGACCTAGACTATATTCGTGTCTATTGATTGAGGCTTGCAAACGCACTGCCTCTTTTGTCTAGTTGTTCAAGATAATAAAAAACGCTAAGAACGTCGCACGCCGAGCGCAAGAATTAACAGCTTCATTGAGGATGACCCTAGGCTTAAAACAAATGTTATTAATTTCAACTGAATCAAAGTGAAATGGAAGTAAAGAGTAACAGAACAATTTGTAACTAGTAGCTTGATGTGAGACTTTGATCAGTTATGAGTGCCTCTTTGATAATTTTTGTGTCATGCAATCATTTCAGCAGTTCACATAACATTAATATTGCTTCTTTAGAACTATAATTATTCGCTAGGCCAAAACATCAAAACTCAAAACATCATCTGAAAATGCAGCAGCTGGATGATTTTTCTCTTCTTAAACTCTCAGAGAAATGTGCATTTGCGGTTAATTATTCGACGTTTTTTCTGAGACATAATCAGTATAAACATGACACAGAAGATGCTGTTACTTGAACGTGTTCGGACACTGGGAAATCTCGTAACTGTTCAAAGTATCATTAAAGTATTTTTATTCGTGATAGCTTACATTAAACTAAGAAGCTGCAGCCGGAATCACGTTAAAAGCTTCTGTGAGTTTCGGTAAAAGCACCAATGAAGAGCAGCGAGTAGCCAGTTCGAGCTCCAGCTAGCTGTAAAGATCTTATATATCTACTGTTCAACATCGACAAGATTGCGGAATGTATAAGAACATCAAAATTGAGTAGCGGGGTAGAACTCCAGCTGGCTATTAGCATTAGATGAAGATTATTCCCGGTCCTGGCCGAATCTTCAGCATTGTCATAACTATGATACGGCTAAATTGACTTTTTTGGGAACCATTTGACTTGAAAATTCACTGTAGGTTTCTCCCTGATCACTTTGACATTCTAAAATTCCGAAAATCATAAAAAGAACTGACATTTTGTTTTTAGTTTGGTAAATCCTCCAGGTAGGTAATGTGTTTTAGAGTCTGAATGTCAATGTATTTCATAAAAAAGTAAACATTTTCTGTCTAAAATGCAAAACAAACAAACTTGAACAGCTTTGCGTCTCTAAATCTACTTAGGGCACTGGAACACTCGCGCATGTTTATTTATCATTGTTTCCAATGCAATTAATCACTCGGCTCTAATGTTGCATAATAAAGATCTCAGTTGCAGCCGTCGTGCCGTCTTAATTGAAGCCAGCGAAGTCGACAATAAAGACCTTCTTGGCCTTAATACCTTATTATCCGTTTGTTTTTTTCAGATTCATGCTTATTGTGGTGAATCTATCTTAATAATAAGCTGTTAGACTAAAAGAAAACGCTAAAATATGATGCGACTCATCATAGCATGTGAAATCTTGATCAGAACATTGAAGGTGCTCGTTCTTTCGCTTATATATTTAATTTTCTAAATGCTATATTTCCTGCATTTTGCAACACGGCTATAAAAAATAAAATTTTAAAAATATATTAAATTACTTTTCATTTCAGACACGAAACGAGAAGCTGTGTTAAGTCTTATCCAGCCCCTCGCGTTGTACCAAGAAGACAATGAAAGCAACAACCAGGTGCTTATGATGAAAAAACTCGACACAACTCGAGACTTCACCACAGACTGCCAGCCAGCTCCAGAAGACCACTATACACAATTGAAAGGGCCACGACTGCAGATGCAAGATTCCGTCGACTATCCCCTGCTGGGAAGGAAAGGCAGCGACGTCGTATCTTCGTTTTCTGTTCCGCTGTCTCGTACAGAAAACGGCGCACGGGCCGGAGACCAAGAGCTGCCGAAGAGTACTTTTTCGCCACAGAATTACCAGGTGAATGAACAAATAATCGACATTAAAGAAATCAGCAAAAAAATATCATCCAGTTATACTTTTATATTTTGGAGGATTTAAATAAAACCATAACAACTGGTTATTGAAACTTCACAGGGAAGAGACAAGCAACGCTCCAAAACATGAGTTATTATTAAATCATGCTACAATTTCTCGCATTAGGCACTCTTTGACCAATCTAGGGATTAAATTACTCAGGTTTGCTTAAGTTTCACAGCATTAATTACAGCAAACTGTGACAAATTATTCTCCTCGACGGACACGCATTAATCTGTAACCTCTCATCTGCCAAATTATTTTTCGACTTGACTTAGGCACAAAAAAATCATAAATTTCTTTCAAAACTGAAGCATTTATTCACAGAAGTCATTGATTATTTCCTATTTGACCCCACACAGGACGCTATAAACGTTTCCTCGCTGAAGTCATTGATTATTTCCTATTGGACCCTCCCTTCAGGGTGCCAGTGCCCCATACCCGGCCGTCCCCACCTCAGAGGCTGACGGAGGCTACCAGACGCTCGACTTCTCCCCCAAGCCTGCAGCGGTCGCTGCCGCTCGTCCTCCTCCTGAGAGCCACTATGTCACCATCGATCCCGACCAACAGGCCTAACTTTTGCCACTTCACTGACGATTATTGTCATATTCGAAGTCAATATGTGCCTTTTAGATATGCTTTAATCGAAAAAAATTCATTTTTCGAAATTTTACGAATCGAAAATGTATTTAAAGAAATTCATTTTTAATTCAACACGACAATGTTGAGTAACTGCCCAATTGGTTTCAATCCAATTTCCACTCACTAAATCGGTCCCGAAACATGGCCGATACATTTCCCGAGGGATTTATTTCTTTATTTTCCTGCTAGGTAATTATGTCTGAACATAATTGTTAAGCTTTTGGAGTGTGTTTTTTTTCTTCAGCTCAATGCATTTTTTGTACCCCACGTCTGAACCAATGAATGTTTGAAGGACAACTTAGAAGGACAGTTTTGTTAGGCTCATCAGTCATTGGTGTAAACTCCTCATTTGCTAACTGGAAAAGAGCATACGCGTTAAAGCATTTAAGAATTGAAAAGTAGTAAAATTTATTCACATTTCAATAGTGCACATTGACATTAAATGTACTTTTTTTAATTTTCATGAATGATTTTTGATCAATTATATGTTTGTCTCCAAATATCCTACTCACATAAAAGTGTATAGTAATAAAGAATCTATCAACGTTTCAACATTTGAAAATACCACTCATTTATCGTTGTGAGTACTCTCCGTCATGATTCCAAAGAAATTTTTCTGTATTTTTAAACCTAGTTTCATTGTATTTAATCCTTTGAAGTTCTTCTCAAATGACGATAAATTTATCGCTTCAATGAGAGCTTGGACCGTAAGTTCGTAGTTGAACGAAACTAAAAGACTCTTGACGTAACCTAGCTTGACCTCAGCCATTACCACAAATAAGCGGCAGTACCACAGCTTGGCAGTGCCAAAACTTGGTAACAGTACCACAGTTGATCATACTATAACTATATTAGCAACTCTTACACACTCTTGGTCCAAGAATGTAGTTGACGTTCTCAAATAATAAGATGTTAAACACAGTTCCAACTTCGTCGAAAAAGGAAACGTTGAAATGAATTGCGAACAAAAATACGAAAGCATTTATTTAATCTGCTGCCTTTCCGGCGCTCATATAATACAGCACTTTTCTGAACATTTGAATAAGAATTCATCGACGAACTAAACATTTGTGCGCAGTTTTCTCAACGCTTTTTGGTTCGCTGCGGTCTGAATAAAGACAGGTTGTAAATAAGTAAGACATGTCTTAATATTCAATTTATTTCTTAAAGAATTGAGTTCTTGGAGATCTCAGCAGAGAATGCATTAGCGTATCATAGTGCAATAGTGGAATAGTCTATCGCATCAGAAAGATTTTACATCTCCGGCGGTCACGTAAATTTTTAATCGTGCCACCGCGTATTTTAGACACCCAGCTAGCACTTCTTACCCAGAGAACATTTATCACACACCTTCTGATCGTAAGAATCACAGTTATCGGCTTATCGCTCAACTTTTAAAATTAACCTTTGAAAGCTCATATTATTTATAAGAAACCGAGTTCTTTCTCCGCTATATATCGCATTACGACTTCCAACTAACCAGATAAAACTAAAAAAGTCGAGATTAAGACGTTCAACCTCCTAATGCAAAATGTAGAGATTGTAAGGTCGGCATGAATCAAGCAATGATGCGTGCATTAGCTATTTCCGAGCCTGGTATGTTACTTATAGGCTCTAAATTATTTTTTCACAAAATTTATACAAAAGAAATGGTTCAGAACGCCAAATTCTCAAGTCATCGTCACGGCCTCTTTGGAGGAACACGAAGCCTTGCACGGAATGAAATACCGAGATGCCACGAGTAATTTTTGACGTTTACTGGAAAAATATGGCGGACATAGCGCAATAAAATAACAACTTTTAATGTTTGGGTTCCTCTTTCTGTTTCTAGCTATAGTCCATGTAATTGACGGCCATCGCTACTTGCGTTCGTAATATTGTGGTTATCACAATATTAATTTTGTGGTCAAATCTGAGAAAACAGAATTAATGGGTGAACGTAGAACACAGCGGTGGATACTAGTGACCCTTGTTCGATTCAACGCGTTCTCTCATGAGCGATAATGACGCCAACAAAAATTGCAACATGTTTGAGTATTGTCTACTTATTTTTATTCTTTTCAAAGTCTAGTTGGTCTTCAAGAATTCAACTCCACAAAAATTCCAGCAACTTTTCATACTTCACTTTGAGCTTAAGACATCCATCCAAACTCCTTGCATCGTTGGATAAATCCGCAAGCGACACGTTGACGAATCATAGAGCATCAGAAGAAGAATTCGCCTTGCCTCTCCTAACACGAAATTTGCCGAGACAAGAGCTTCAAAATACGAAAGAAAAGCGGCCAACGCCAGGGTGGAGGCTGGTGCTGGACGCCATCTTGGTGGCCGGCAGCAGATCTCACTGCGTCTTGACTGTCGTGGACGCTGGGCGGGACCCATCGCCGATCATAAGGCAAAGGAGGGCTGTAATTAAAATATTTCAAGATAGTTTTTCGCTTTAAAGCTTTTAAATAAGAGTAGATAGTTGAAATAGTTTGAGGTTTAAAGGGATTAAGCTCGAAGCTTCGGTGAAACATGTAAATTTAAATAGATTGACCCAAGTCATAGCTACGTATATATGGTTTGAAAATTACACATAGATCAGTAAAATGCTTCTTGGAAAAACATGATGTATGACTTGTATAAATTGTCCACCCAAAAACTTTGCCGCGTCGATGGTAACCAATATAAACTAATGCTAATGACTCACGATATCTATAACTTCAAAAAGTTTAAATCTCCGTCGAAAAAGTTGTTAAAAACTATTTTAAAAAATCGTTCTATCAATGAGCATTTAAATTCTTGTTAAAACAACTACTAACCAAAGTAATATACCATAACAGTGAGCTACAAGGCGAGGTACCATACATATTGTTGAGGTCGGCAGCGACATCCAGCGTCAGGTCCTACACCGAGCATCACGTGTGCCGCGTCCTGCTCGTGGACGCTTCGACTGTCGCGCTCGAGCTGCTCGCTCTCAGGTATAACGATTTTAAACTTGATTACCGTTGTAGACTTTATACAGGATGGTAATTTAATTACCACATTGTTCATTTTAGCCCTCTAATTTGTAAGCAAAGTACTACAAAAGGGGGAACTTGGAATTTATTTACTTGGCTCTATGGACACGTAAGGATTCAAAACTTTATTTCTTTAGGAATTTAATTCGAGATTTTTGTATGCCATCAGTTAGTGGTTTCGAATCCAACAAAGAGAAAAATTTCCATGTAATTCAAGCTTTAACCGTCAGAACAAGCAATTTTTATCTTTATATTTTTACGTGTTTTACGAGTTAGTTCGTGTTTTGACCAGCATATTGGAGAAAGAAAATGTTTTTCGCCACCCTGAGCTGGTAGTCATCGCCTTCGGTGGAAGCGCAAGCCGAGCTCGAAACTTCTTAATGATTCCGATCCTGGGCAACACCATTCATGCTCTGTACTGCGGTGAGTCTACGTCGAGCTCATACTTGTATCTCTCAGTAATGTGAAGTTCTTTATACTCTCTATTTTGACGAAAACAATTTTGATATATATTTTATTGCTACTTTGGTAAGAATTTCACTTTTTTAAAGTCATAACGTCTGAAGTGATGCTCTGAAATTCAGCGGGGACAAACTCAAGTGATGTTGGACCAGTAACTGAAGCGTCAGTGTACCGCCTCTGCCACTACTGCAGAGCTGGGCGCGATGTGCTCATGGTTGGAGTCTTCCAGCACGGCAAACTACAGCAGCATGCTGACATTTTTCCCGGTGAGAAATGCATTCACAACTCACAAAGTTGTGCTAATCACATTAGACTGCTAATCAAAATATCTGATATTAATGCTCATGATAACAACACTCTCAAGGAGGGAAAGTATCCCGCACAGCCTAGGACCTGAATTATTGGAAGTAGTAACGTAATAGTTTAATTAAATTCACGAAGTCACTGACAATAACATTGTTCTGCGATCTTCCATCTTTTTCTGTGTTATGATCGATCAAAAAGTTCAATCAGAAATAAATCTACTTTCTTCAACGGACCTTACAATGATCGAGTTCAATCATGTTCAAAATCCAGTATTTCCAGCAGGCTTTCGAGGAAGTTCTTTTGTCCTTGAATGCAGAAATTTCAATAAAAAGTCCTTGAATAATTCAACATCATTATTTGTGTATTTAGATAAGTTCAACTACTATGCATCTTTACATGTATGATTAATTTTTTGATCCGCATAAAGTAACAACAATTGCATGTAGACTCTCACTTCTCGTTCTCACTTTCTGATCATTTCCTGAACTTCATTAACATCTAAATTATTCTTGGGTCCTGATTCACGGCCACAATTGCAAAGCGACATTTTCTTTAGCATCAAATCTACGTACTACCGTTCTTACGCTCAGATGAGACAAAGAATTTCCGCGGCCACCAGTTCAACATCGTCACCATGGACTGGTTCCCGCTGATAACCTTCACGAAAAACTCCTCCAAAGTTCCCGGGGCCGTGGTGACGCCCGACGACTCTCTCGACTACAGGATTCTCACTCTCTTCGCCCGCAACTTCAACTTTACGTGAGATTTTGTGCAATAATTTTCTAGTTTAGTTGAGGCTCGTGTTTTGAAGGGTCACCGGAGCTCCAAGTAAAGTTTTTGGCAAGCTTGACCAGTGGCTTGAACATCCAAAGAAATATTGGATTTGGGAACATCTTCAACACTCGTATCTAAAACAGAGAATTCTGATAGTAATTTCGTCCTTTTTCTTAAATTCTTTCTAAAAGCCTTTTTTGATTGAATTTTTTCTATATTTTTCCTGATATCGGCTCAAGTGAATTCGGAATTTACGAGCATACGAGCAGTATCGCTAACAACATGACTAATCTAACTCGTTGCGGCCGGTATTATACAAACCTGTCTCCTCGCATGTAGGCCAGGATGCAGGACCTAATATAAAAGCCTGTCACTTGCACTGGAGTCAGCACCAAATAAACCTCTTCATGCATGCATGCACTTAGCGACAACATTGATCATTCTTCACGAACATCGCAAAATTAAAATGAATATACGTGAACCAAATTTAATGATGTGTTCCTTTTCAGATCAACACATTCACACTCGAAACGGAAAGCAAAGCGTTAAAATTAAACTTGCTGTATCTTCTTTTGATTTCGAACCAATATTCGCATTCTGTCTCTGGATGTATGTCACTTTTCTTTGAAAAAAGCCACTGACGGAAAATATTATGCTAATTCGAGACAAAGTCCAACCAACAGTGTAATTCATGGAGAAATATTAATGACAACAGCAAGGTGAAACTCAAAAATAAATAGTATTACCTATAAATTTCACATATGATTTAAAATAAAATAATGAATTCAAACTCCAAAATTTTATGTCGAAGTGTTCAGCATAGAAGTCTCAGCAGTTCTTGGCTCGGCGGTCTTTGCCCCAAAGTAATGCGTCAAATCAAGAGGACATTAAGATTTAAATAAATAAGCATATCTGTTGCTGCAGTTACGTGATGCGAACTCCATGGGACCTGACCTGGGGCATCATGGAGGCATCTGGCAACTGGACGGGTACTATGGGCACTCTGCAGCACGACGCGGCGGACTTCTCCATGCTGCTGACGTGGCTGCGGGAGAGGTTCGAGGTCGTCGACTTCACGAGGGTTTACGTCACGGAGCCTTTAGTGACCATCACGCTCAAAGCTCAGGTCCTACCTGAGATCATGTCTTTATCTCGACCCTTTTCAGGTAACGCTGTGCTATAACCGAGATTATGGGAATATCAAACAGATTCATGTTATGGATTGATAAGAAAAATGTAATAGCTCATCAATATATTTTGATCCAATAAACTTCACTGAATGGGAAACAAATGAGTTCTGAACCATGCATTGCAACGCTGGATCATATAGTGAAATGTACATTTATCCATTTTCTAAGGTACGCTTTGGCTTTTGGTGGTCCCAAGTGTTTTCCTTTTCGGCCTCGTCCTGTACCTCGCCTACCGAACTCTTGCATCTTGCTCGGCTTCAGACCAAGAAACTCTACAGACTCTGGCAACAGCGACACTAATATCGTGGCAGATGTTCTTCCAAGTGAACATAACCCTCCGTCCTAGGAACACCACCATCAGGGTGCAGATATGCAACGATTTGCCTGTTTCTTCTCACACTAACCTTACTTTTTAATTCGTCGAAATCTGCATTCATATTAATGTGCATCCAATAACATTTCTTCATCTGAAGCGTTTGACATTATTTTTCGGTTTAATGTATGGTTATCAGTTTATGACATTCTTCATTAAGGTAACGCGTAATCTTAGGGATCATCATGAAACATCCACAAATATGGGGACATTGAGAGTCATTGAAAGTGGATGTTTTCTCTGCCTCAATTCAACAGATTCTTGTGTTGTCGTGGTGGCTGTTCAGCCTGCTGGTGACCATCGCGTACAAGTCATCCTTGATCGCCCACTTGTCGGTGCCAGGTGCGGACCGCCCCATCGACACCCTCGAGCAGGTTGGACTGGCCGACAGCTGGACGCTAGGATACGAGACCACCTCCGAGTCTGGCTGGTGGTGGCTCACGCAGAACAAAAATCCTGAAATAATGAGAGCAGCAGCCAAAGTCAAGGTCGGCTCAGTTATAGCATAGCAAAAATTCGTTTTTAAAATAAGACAATATAAATTCAAGTGGATAAGAGATACGTAAATCGATAAATTCTGGTCATTATATATGAACCCGACAAATTTAATTCAGTATTTTTTAGTTATATTGTAATAATATTACGAGTGATTGTAGTAATAGTAACGAAAGGAAAGATTGAGTGCCTAATCGTAAAAAGATATAGATATGATTAACGAAATAGTTTTAGAATCGATTAGTTATAAATTTAATATATTTTCCGCATTCCATATTACTCTCAGGTATTACCGAGCTCAAATATTTTAAAGTAAAATTCCGACATCACTGATGAAAGCCGTCACTTCGAGACGTAATCTTATAAATTTAAAAATATGTTTTACTCTTATTGCATGAACATTGCCACTTACCACATATGGATCATTGCTACTCACCACATATGGATCATTGCTACTCACCACATATGGATCATTGCTACTCCCCACATATGGATCATTGCTACTCACCACATATGAATCATTGCTACTCACCACATCGAAAAGGCTGTAACAGTTACCGAGCCTTCGAACTGCATAGATCCCATACATTACTCATCACCCTTATATACCCCCCACATGATGCCGACAGGTGATGGACCTAGAGAAGAACATAGCCGCCGTGCTGAAGGGCAATCACATGTTTCTGACGTGGAAGTACTACGTATCCGTGATACTGCAGGACAAGTACACTGACAGCCGTGGCCACACTCCCTTCCATATGTCGAAACGAGAGTACAACTTCGGCGGATACGGATGGGGGTTCCGGTATGGAATTATAAGAAATTTGTGTATTGCATCATATATAATCTATATTCACTTTCATTAATTGCGCTCTTGCATGACCAGATGGTCAATCCACTACACAACTTAGCTAGTACAACACGAATAATTGTTGCTCAGTATTAGCTAATTTATTCTTGTGTTTATACTTTTCCTACAGCTGAGTTTTTACTTAACGTTTTACGTTCACATTTCTGCATTATTTTACACACTGAATGTATACGCGAAAGGATTGTAAAGTAGACTAAGTATTGAATTATAATTGTATAATTTTACTTACTTATTTCTCATATGGTCGCTCCATCTCAGACGCGGAGCACCTTTCAGACGTCGGATGGACACCGGGATTCAGAGGTTGGTCGAGGCGGGCCTCATCAGGAAATGGCTCGACGACCTAACTCAACTCAGAGCAAAAAACGGCATTGCGACTCCAGCGAAGGATGATGGTAGCTCCCAGTCGTCGGAAAATGATGTTGGTTTCTGTGACGTATAAATAAGATACTGGTTATTAGTCCGTGTTTTGATTTTATCTGCTTTTTTATGACAGAAATAAGGATAAATTTAAGGTAGACGTAAAGTAATAAATTTTAATTATGACATACATATAACAACAACCGAGTTCATCGAGAAGCGCTTAAACTGTACATAATATAATGTGACAGTATCTTTGCTTAAACAGAGTGCTTTACCCTGGGCAATTCGTATTGCACTATACTCTTAATTTCGATGTCGGTTCTTAACTTCTCTCCATCAAATTCTTACGACCCGCAGGGCGCTAGCAATGATCTCGTAGTCTTGGGTCTCGGTCATCTTCAAGCCTCTTTCTACATCCTCGTGTTGGGCTACGTCGTAGCCTCGCTTGTTCTCTTCGTAGAAATGACTGCTCTCAAGTTCCCCATGATGAATTTAACTGCACGGAAGCGCGCCAGAACTTGAAAATTTGATAAACCAATGAAGGACAGGAGGATAATTTACGCGGATGTGAAGCTGCAATTCTAGAATGACGTATATCCGTGCAATCCGCCGTATAGAACAGTTTATGCTGTTAGAATTCTCGATTCCGTTAAAATGGAGGTATTAATAAGTAGATATATTTTATGGTCCTTGCTCCTTGGGAATTGAATTTTAATTTATCATGAAGCATGAATAATAAGAACGCGAGGAATCTTGGTAAGCTAATTATTTCACACGACTCTTGCAAAACTAAAATCTCGAATCTGCTTTGAAAGCAAGATATTTTTATCCGGTAATAAAAGGTAATAATAATTTAATTCGATGACTTATGCTGGTATCCAATTATCTACTATATTATTCACTTTGAGAAATATTTGCATCAAATTCCAGTAAATATATTGAAGCTTTATTAGTATTTTATTCCTTAAGATGTTTATTTTTTTTTATTCCTTAATAATTTTTTTTCCTTACTTTTTATTCCTTAAAATAAAAAAACGACAAACGCATGAATGAAGTTTAAATTATCAAAAGAAAAATAATAAATAAAAGTTTGGAGTCAATTTTGTAATGGTTTAAACGAGAGCTGTTTTCTTTCTGGAACGCGTTCCGTATCACCGTTACGAGTGTTGGCAATAAGCATTAATGCAGCTCTACTCATGAAATTTATTCACGATGGTTTTCGGTGTTGTCAATGTCTCCGAACCTGGGCGGTATATGCTTAGCCGCAATTCGGTTTTCACATCCAAAACTATTCTTTTGGTCTGCATCGTTCTGTGGTACGAGATTGGATAACTGGAGTTTGAATTAAGTGAAATTGTTTAAAATGTACCAGGGAATGGTTGGCAAGCAAGTCGTATTGTGCGGACTCTGCCATTTATAGTTGCCGCTTTCCATTTATACGCTATTTGGTTGTACGCAAAAGTGGGCAGTTATTATCAACGATTTTCCGTATTCGGTTTCTTCAGTAAATGCTTGTCACCTTACACGGTTTACGCAAACGGCGCTCTCACCTTGTGGATTCTTTACGTTTGCTACAGCTTCTACAACCCCGATTTTGATGTAAAGAAATTGGCTAACGAGGGACTTCTTCATCACACAAATAATTATTTAACCGTCGACCGTAGTATGAATTTCATTGACAGAACTCAAAGTGAACTGGAATGTTGTGGCTAGAAAAACTATTCAGATTGGGCAGGTATTCTAGAAAGTTCAAGCAACGTTCTGAAGCAAGTTCCTGCAAGTTGCTGTAACCATGCAGCCCTCATGCCTTGCCCCTTTCACGACCTGGGAAGCGTCTAGATGATGAAGCAAAACCCGGCACTGCATGAGCTGGGCAAGAAGCTCATTTAAGCCACGATCTTCCAGGATGGATGCCAACAGGCACTAAAGTAGAAGATAACCAATCTTCTAATAAAAGTTGCTAAAACAATCCTGATGTTGGGTGCTCTGCAGAGTTTGCACTTCCATTGGAGCAATTTACTGAGCACAGCAGTGGTGAATACTTTCAAGAACAGGGACCTCCTGGCTCCAGCACCTACGTGGGTCGCTGCCATTTTTGGCACAGAAGTCACGGTCATTCCAATTAATCAAAGATTGAAGAAATTCTGATTTCGCTGACGAAGTTGCAATAACAAACCCTCATTATATCGCGAATTGCATTCTTGGAATAACTGCGTCATTTTGGTAAAATGAAGGACAAAAAATTTCCACAACATCAGGAATATTTTTATAATTCAATGATCAGCTGAAGCCTGAAATTATTGTTAGAATCCTATTTCTTTGAATCGTTTAATGAAAGTTTTTGAACTCGTCAATCAGTTGATGCTGTAAAATTATCAATTTCAGTTGTACTTAAAAATCCAATGTTTCAGCTATACGAATCGCGTACTATTGGAATTCATTTGATACCTAATTACATTTTCTCATTTTATATACTGATGAACTTTGCAATGAAAGAAAAACAAATTTTTTCACGAATTACAATTGCACAGCACTCTTTGTATTTATTTTCCAAAGAATTATTTAGAGCTCAACATAAGAACCTACATTCATCGGCCTCCAGCTATAATTGCATTAATCCTGAGAGGGAGCGTGGCCCAGAAGTCCCTGGAGGCGCTCCTGTAGTAGGGGTAGAGGCCCGGCGCAGGAGTCACGCGAAGGAACTGGCGTGAGTCGTCCGCAGTGGCGGTCGGCCACACGAAGCCTAGCGAGGAACTGTCCGCCGTGGGCGTGGGGTTACTGCAACACGGAGCAACATTAGTGATGTTAACGTTACTCTTCTCTTGGAAGACTCATAAGACAATGTAAGGAGCAGATCTGACATGGCGCAGCTGCAACATGTAGATATATTAGTGATGTCAACATTGCTGTTCTCTGAGAAAACTCGCTTGGTAATTTAAGCAGCATGTTAGACATGGGTTGCATCAGCAAGTGTCAACATTAGTGATGCAAACATTGATGTTCTCTTAGAAGACTCATCTGGTAAGTTAATTAAGTAGCAGGTTAGACATGGGGTTGCTGCAACAAGTGGTAACATTAGTGATGCAAACATTGATTTTCTCTGATAAGACTCATAAGGCAATGTAAGTAGCAGGTCTTGCAAAACTTGGAACAGCTTGCAGTTATCGTCTGTGGGATAGAAGTAAAAAGTTTTGACCTATTGTGTTTCCAATATAAGGAATAAGAGACATTTAATGCTAGAGTTTCAAAATAAATGAGATGATTTTTTAGCTATAATTGTTCGAATACGAGCAAAAATATGTGTGGTCTAATACTTAACAAAGCTTTCCCACACCCACCGCTGTCGATGCAACTCGATGATCACATACTGGGATTCATCATTTAGTAAATGTCTTCGTTACAAAAATATTCGTCAACCGCCTTCGTCCAAAGCTCAAAAAATGTAAAAAATCTACCTTCTCGGATCTCACTTGGATGTTTCAGCAAGTTTTGATCTGTGGTACGTGACTTTACCCATGTGCAAACGGTTTTGTTGTGTGGTGTTATTGCGTACCCGAAATTTGAACGGTTTAGGCTCTGCAGCCTTCGATCGTATATATACATACAATTTGTCATAACCCTGATGGCCCATATTTGTTCCGTTCAGAACGTACCCATATTTATTCCATTCTTAGCGTATTCATATTGGTCCCATTCTTAGCGCACCCATATATGTTACATTCTTAGCGTAATATTTATTCCATTCAAAGTGAACCCATATTTATTCCATTCAAATCTTAGCCATATTTGTCCCAGCGTATCCATATTTGTCCCATTCTTAACGTACCCATATTGGTCCCATTCTTAACGTACCCATATTTGTCCCGTTCTTAACGTACCCATATTGGTCCCGTTCTTAACGTACCCATATTGGTCCCATTCTTAACGCACCCATATTTGTCCCATTCTTAACGTACCCATATTGGTCCCATTCTTAACGTACCCATATTTGGCAAAGTTGGCCCACAGTTCGCCGTAGAGGTCGCTCACGGCGATGTCGTCAGCTGTGGTCAGTTCGCTGGGCGTCCTTAATATGTATTGAAGATCGTCGCCATGGGCAATCCCTGAGTCGAATTATCCGACATTGTGAAATTTGTAAAATTAACAGTGCAAATATTTTTTTACTGGCAAAAAAATTTGAAAAATTAATATTAAAAAAATCTTCTGACTATATAATGGTGAACTGCAGTGCTGCCTTGCCACGAACTCGTATGAGTAGCATTTTTATTTGGGATAAAAAATGAGATAGCTTGGCATTTCGATTTCATAAAGAGTTATTTTCTGTGCGTACGGTTTTATGTTAGGATATAGATATTGTCACTCTAAGGTATGGTCCTTTTAGATTAATGTGATTGCTGTCATTTACGACATTTATAATCCAAATGAGTCGAAGACAGTGGCTAGGAACGAGTTAGACCATTAATTTCGAGGTTGATACGACTCACAGTTCGCGGCTTGGGACAGGTTGAGGCCGTGTTCGAGGTAGAAGTTGGTATACCCGTTAACGCCCCTGTGGTGCAGCTCGTGTAGGTACACGGGCACCTGTTCTGCCATCATCTCCACCGCCCAATCGAGAGGTACGTGGAAGAACAAATCCGTGTACAACTGCTGGGCAAAATGAAATCTTAAATAATAAGTCAATTAAGGAGTGTGTGTGCTACGTTGGCAGACAAATATCGACTTGCGAAATCAGAGCATAGGCTATAAATTTGTGAGAGCTAATTGGTCTCCTGACATAAATTGGAGGTCATTATGAAAAAAATTTACACCTGAAAATGAATCGTACTTTAATAAGTACTTGTGAGACTTGTGTCTAATAAACACTTATTTAAATGTTGGTGACATATGCTTGGTTGATTTTTGTTTGATCACTTTTATTTGCCAGGCTGGTCAGGGTTCATGCTCGGTATGACTAGGTAAAGCCAATCTTTTTCATCCTCCCGAGACACTAGTCGTTTGAAGCTGGAAATAAGATTCTTACCATTCGCTGATTTCAATCGAGTGCGCAAGGAGATATATTATTCCTCAGTCGCTTATGCAGCGTCTCCAACCAGAAGCATGGGTGTTAATTGCGGCTTCTATGTAAAAGATATCTTTCTCACCCTTGTAAGGTTATCAGCCTGGTCGCTGGTAATGTTGCCATCAATGTAGTAGTCATAAACGGTGTAGGCAGTGTTGACAGGATCTTCGTCAGGATATAACATCAGGCTGATAGGACCGTTCGTCTCGAAGTTTTCCTCCAGGGATTGGATAAAGTGCGGCAGGTAGAACAATTCTGTATAGCGAAAAGTCCCGAATCGAAATATTTATGGTAGTTTAATAAGAATAAATCGTTAAGATGGACTTGCTCTCTCTCATTTGTCCGATACTTCTGCGGATGATTCTATGCTTTTAATTTATAGAAAAATCCTGCCGCCTACACTTAACCTCAAATCCCATCAGTAAATTTCAACCTACTGTGACGAGGCTCATCTGTCTTTATTTTTCCTGTGATAGACAAAAACTGCACCAAATTCTAAGTAGTCACTGCAGAAAAAGCAAATTCCAGTATTTTTCTTAATAGAACCGACGTTGGAAAATTTCAAAGAGAATCGAGCCTATATAACTGTTCTACCGATAAGTCTCACTAGTTTCTATTAAGAGGTGGATGATCTTCGGAAAAATTATATCGCTTATGGAATATTCATGAATGAAGCCTAAAAGAAAATTCAGATTAGATGCCTGCACAAACTGAGAAGCTTGTATTCAAAAGTTACCATTGCTTCAGACCACAAAAAAAAACTTTCGTAAATACGAGGGAATTGAATGCATTGTAATATTGAGTAATTTTAATGTTTAAACCTCGATCGCCTAATATCTGTGCGAGTTACCGGTGGCCTCGATGGCGCCTTCGTCCCTGACGGTGCCCATCATGACAGGCACGTGAGTAAAGTCCCCGTCCAGCAGCAGGCGGGCGGGTTCAGCGGGAATATACTGGCCGTCGACGCGCGGCGCGAAACAGAAGGGCTGACCGTTCCATTCCTTACAAGCAAATCACCATTGATAATACTGTATGTATATGGAAGAATCGACATACGAAGAATTTCAAGCAACAAAAAGCAAATGCTTCGCAGGGACAAAAAAGTACTACATATCACGTGAAAATTCACATTCCAATGCGAAAGATGTTCCTATTTATTATGCAGACTGGACAATCTAGATTTAAATATAATTTTACAGAGTTTAGCTCGCAATGGCACACTTGGTTCTTTAATGGAATGATTTTCTTTACTATGGTTTTGCTTTGACTAATTAAATAAATGAATCTAAAAAGTCATTCAACTGACCGATATTTATACAAATTTTTCCTCCTTTGTCAAATATTTTGCTATGGGCAATGAGCATCATTCTTTCTAGTCCGCCTCTGCCCCTCTACCACTAGCAAGAAGCAAGTAACAGTATAGTGCATCAGCTGGCCCAGCTTTGGCCCAGCTTAGGGCAGATGTGTGGTAGCAACGGTCCACTGCCCCGCGGTCTTGCCGGCGAAGAAGACCGAGCGACTTCGGTTGGGTGCGGGGTCGGTGAAAGACAAAGGCAGCGTTCCAGCGCAGCCTTGGACTGATGCTTCTGAACTCTTACCCCAGAGAAAATAAATATATTTATATTTGAACGCACCATGGTGAGGTAGAGGGTGTCTTCGAGCAAGTGGGCGTTCACTTGCTGCAGGCAGTCCACAATTTCCTCAGATGAGTTTGCTCGGCACTGAAACCTGACGAATTTAGAATTCATGTTATTTTTCTTACCAGAAACGACGCATAGGACATTGCTACTTTGTGAAATATAATACTCATTTAATGGCACTTTAGAAATTATCAAGCATTGAACACTATTCGAATGTTAATATTGGCTTTATCAAGTACTTTAATGCTGTAGAATAATCTACTGCTGTTTAAGAGCGCGAACGTCACAGTATTCAAATTCACGGCCGCCCCGCCCGCACATTGTTGATAGCTTCTGCTGGGAGTAGCGCTACCCTGCGCTACTCCATAGGCGAATTAGTATAAGTGTTATACATGTTTTGTTAATTTATTGTGATTTGTGAATCTTATCTCTTCCGTTGATCTTGTATCTCAATTCTTAGTGAGTCATGCTCTGTATGTAAATTAATCACCAGTAAAACGTAATTTGTCAATCTATCAGGGCTAGGGTAAAGCAACCAAATTCCACCTTAATTTACAATTCAGGCTAGGGCTGCCATTCCCGTAAGTTCAATAACCTGCGGTCATAAGCGACTCATAGTGATATATCTGGCAACATTATGATTTAATTGTAGTTAACCCTGAATCCATGATTAATTGAAACACATATTTTTTTATATATTTGACTTTCTATTTAGTTGCGGCGTTTTCTGTCCCGCAGTTTAACAAACCTGAAATAAAGAAGATTTAAATAGAGATTTCGCAAGATTTAATTGTTCGTGCCTGGCTATCATTAAGTGACCCATGGAATTCTAGCCAGAACAACAATTTGTTCTTCGTGAGAGGTTAACTTTTTGTTCAGAAATTATTCAACATAATACCAGAGAAATTTTGTAACCGCTTCCTACCTGTATAATCATTAGCTGGTGATTTAGGTTAGATGAACTTTTTGATGTGAAAGCTGGGGCGTGAATGCATTCTGGTGTCATTTAACAATTTTCAAGACGGATAAAAGCGCTTCTAAAAGCTGTATTGTACACGCGTCGTGTAATATTCATAATGTAAGAATGACACACATTACGATAGGTCAACGCGCAAATTTTAATGCCTATTCTTAAAACGCACAAGAAGGCCTATAATGTTATCACGCGGGACGTGTTTGAGTTAACATATATTAATATATATGATATATTGTCTCGCCTTACTCGCGTGCTATGGTGTGGGCGTTCTTGTTGAAGTCGCGGCCGAGGGCCCATGGCGCTGTGATCGAGCCACTGTGCAGCAACACGCCGCTGAACAGACCTTCGCCAAACACATGAAGTAATTAATAATTCAAACAATAAGCTTGATCAAATGTGTGCATTTTACGGAAATTGTGAAGTTGTGTGATGTCCTGAGGGCTTTATGAACCGATGGAACCTTCGTCAATTGATCAATATTGTCATTATGGCTGAAATTATAGCGAGCTGTTTCAGGTGTCGAGAAATTACCTAATTCATGGTAATCTATAAAGAAAAAAAATATATAATAGATAATATTTCTTTTCAAACTTTATGTTAAAAGAATTTTTACGATCTCTATTTGATGCACCTTGAGCTGCTGGTGTAACCATTTGGAAATGAGCCGAAACAGATCCGGCGCTGGAGCCCATGATAGTGACACTGTTACGTCAAAAACAAACGCATTAGCTTTTGAAAGCTCCAAAAACTTTTAAAAATTAAATTGTATAACTAATAATTTAACATGGAGGATTTTTTTACAGATTCTGGAAATAATCATAATCTTGAAGTCCCATTCCAGATCGGATTTTTTCAATTATGTTTTAATTATTGTTCCATTGATAATTCGTCTGTTAAAAGCTGATATACAGACGGTTCGTCAAAAGAAATAATTATATGCGATATATGAGGGTTTGCCTGGCAGATGGCCTACCTATAAATACCATCTTACGTTCCCGCAGCTGCAGAATATTTCCTCGAATAATTAATTAAATTTGATCTCACCGCTGCGGATCTCCCCCGAAATTTGCTATGTTGTCGTGGAGGAACTTGAGGGCGAGGGTTTGGTCCTGAAGACCTTGGTTGCCCGGCGCAACTTCGTCGTCAGTGGAAAAGAATCCTGGCCATTTATGAGGGAAATTAAAAGATGCTAAGCGGGTTCCAATTTCTTATAGTGGACTGGATTCGTAAAATTACTGCATTTGATTTAACACGTTGACTACGATTGCTTCATCTTGTATTATTATTTCATTTTTTGTACTTTTTTAAGCAGGGTTACCAGACGGTCATTTTTTTCCGGACAAATTCCGTGATTTAGTTTTTCTCAATTGCGTTGGCCGGCTAAAATTTATGATAGGAGTACTTCCTAATTAAATTTTAAATACTGCAAAAAGAAAATGAATGGATTTTTTTTAGCGGAACCTACAAATAAACTAGTATTCATTGAATTATCGACCATTTTTGGCCTTTTTTGTTCTCGGATTTGGCCGATTTTAGGCAACCTGAATTATGTACCACTACCTTCTAGAAGAATACATTTCGTGGTACGCATATGTACCAATACGTAGTCAACGTGTTAACGGCTTGATGCGAGTACTCGAATTTCCACGATGTAAGAGCCTATATAGTGTTCTGTTCCTTCATATTGAATAAAAGCTTTGATTGAATATTGGGTTCCATGACGACTTCCTTTCAAATGAATTCTGACAGAAATATACCCTTAGAAAATCATTCTCTTTTGCAAATGAATTGTTTAATTCCGATGCACTCACCGAGAACACCCAGACGGTACTGGGGCATGGCCACGATGACGTCATGACGCAGCAGTGGAAATGCTTCCCCATAGGGCGTGGTGCTCCCGAACATGAAGCCACCGCCGTGGATGAACACAATGCTGGCCAACGAAGAGTTTACGTCCAACACAGTCTGAAAAAAGTATTTTATTCTCTTAACGCAGAAAATGAAGCATTTTTTCGCTACTTTAAAACCAAATTTAGCTTCTAAGATTCTTGAAACTCGTAATTAATCACTTCCGTTCGATTGATACGCAATCAATGGTTGTCAAAACTCTGATAAAAAGTATACTTTTTAGTGAAAATTTGATGCAGTAACCCATGACAGGAACAACTGCTATTTACGTAGTAATGGACTTCGTCCTGGGCTCAAAAGTCAGCTTTTGGAAGTAAAGTAACAATTCTGCAGAACAATTAAAGATATCAAGGAAGAGCAACGGACCTGCGGAACATAGATGTCGAGGAAGAGTAACAGACCTGCGGTACATAGATGTCGAGGAAGAGTAACAGACCTGTGGTACATAGATGTCGAGGAAGAGTAACAGACCTGCGGTACATAGATATCAAGGAAGAGCAACGGACCTGCGGTACATAGATGTCGAGGAAGAGACAATCTTCCTCCCCGGCGCCGAACCATTGAACGCACTCGCTCCGCGATTCGTTAGCTATCAGCGTTGAGTTCCAAGGCGAAGCTGGGACTGGAGGCTGCGCTCCAACAAAAATAATTAATTAATTAATAAACTTTCAAGAATTTTTGGAACGTTATAACAGAAATTTTGTTATTGGAAAAGATGCTGGAATAGAAAGTGACATGAAATTAATCAAATATCTTGTTGCACCGTGTGAAACTTCATCGCATCACCTTCTAGCTGGCACAACAATGTTATATTATAGTTAAATTTTAGACCAACAAAAATCAATTACTTTTGAAGCAAGAATACTAACCATGAACCTGAGCTTGTCAAGAGGCGCCTCAGCAAAAGGGATGCCTCTGAAAGCGAACACCGCGACCTCTCCCTGGATTTCCTTAACCCCCTGCACAAGCCCAAGGGTCGTCTGGACCAAGGGCTCTGAATCTCGTACTGTCATTCGAAGTCCCAATCTCGTCGTATGGTCCGTGGGCAAGGCTTTTCCATCATGCGGTGATTGTACACTTGATTGGACTACAGAAGTCTCCGCAGCAAATACACAACTAAGGACCAAGATTGCCAGAGGCAGGAAGTTAAATTCAGAAGTGCCCATTTTACTCACTGAAGCAAAATTCCTATGAATCCTCCAAATTTTATCCAAACGGTTATCTGCCCAAAAACAGAAGTCATTATCAAAGAGACCCAATCTGCGGCATTCTATTTTTGCTGTCATGGTGTCTTCCTGCGCTAACCGGGATGAATGCGTACGACACGCAGATTTGTCGTGAGCCTTTAACGAAAGGTTCACCGTCGCCATAGCAACCATTTGTTGTGGCTCCAGTTCCACACTGGCCTCAAGACATGTACGTGAACATGTGACTCAATATTTCAAGTAGTTTTTTTGCAATCGCACCGTCAATGTTGTGATATCCCGAATAAGATATATTAGATGAAGGCTACATGAAGTAGCGCATTATTGTAGCTTCTGGAATTGCACATTAGTGCTTTGAATCTAAAATTGCAATCAATAAATTGTTCGAAAAACACATCAAGATGTCCGCTTCAACAAAGATTATGCTACAGAACATCCAAATACGCGATGGCGAATATACTAATACTATTTACACAATGGTAAGAAACAGTTTAATATTACAAATTTTTAATATTATAAAATTATTTTTAAATAATTTATATTTTATACGGTGATAAAACATAATTTATTATTTACACGTTGACAAGACATAGTTTACTATCAACACGTTGATAAGAAATAGTTTGTTAAATATATATAAGATAGTAAAATAATGCTTGCTATTTACACGATGTTAAGAAATAATTTGCAATACAATGTCAGTATGACTATTATTATTAAACATTCAATCGGCGCTGACAAGTATATAGTTCCTGCAGTCAATTATCTAATTTAGAAATCGTTTTTTAAATCACTCCTGTACCACTCATGAGTAAGCGTAAGTAAGTTGAACGACTTCAAGATTCTATTCACCAAAGCGTTGAAAATATTTAAATTGGCAACATTAAAACTACATAATGTCGAATAAATTTGTTTATAACTATTCAATGTTTTGTTCCAGATAAAGGAGCAGAAATACAGCGAATGTGTTCAGGTCCTGAACCACATTCTCGAATCTTACCCGACGGTGAGATACGCTCTATATTTAACGGTATTGAAAATTATCACGGATTATTATGTTTCAAAATAGGTAGCTATTTCGTTCAGCTTTAAATTTAAAAAAATACCATTAGGGTAAGAGTTTGGTAAAGTTTTCCTCTTTAGCGTCTTTAATATAGTGACGTGCACACATTTTCACAACATTTAATTTCATATATCAACACCAAGCGTTAATAAACCTGCATCAATCCATACCAAACTGTTGAGTTCCTGCATTTAATTATTTAATTAATGACGATAAATAAATGCTTACTAAATTTTGCCGCAGTCACGGGCGGCGCTGTCGCTGCTGGCGTACTCCTACTTCTACATGCAGGACTTCGCTAACGCTGCCGACTGCTTCGAGCAGCTCACCCTCCTCTACCCCGACGTCGAGGACTACAACCTCTACTACGCCCAGTCGCTCTACCAGGTCACTACTATGTGCACAGTCTGTCTACCAGGTCATTACTCGCTGTACAGTCGCTCTACCAGGTCACTACTCGGTGTACAGCCACCCGACTAGGTCTCTATTCGGTGCCCAGTCGCTCGACTAGGCCCCTATTCGGTGCCTAGTTGCTCTAGTAGGTCCCTATTCGTATAACTGGAATAATTTTATATCCACATCCCAGAACTGTATTTTAGGTATTTTAATTACTTCATTCGTGCTTACGCACAAAACACAGCTTGAATCTCGCATTAGAATGTCTAACTGACCGATTTATCTACAAAAGTTTCACCACCAGCTTTGTTCCAACTTCCAAGTGATGCCATCTCATCTATATATAAATAACTTGATTAACATTATAAATTCAAATTTTGTTTAACAGCTCCGAAAAAATCATATCATTCATACAACCTCGTTTGAGCAGGATTAATGATGGGGCAAATATCAAATATACACTAAATTATATTATTAAAATCAAAGACACCCTTACTCCGCGATGATGGCATCGTCAGTGAAAAGTACAGATAAAGATCACTTTCGCTGGTATGCAACAGACCTTTACTTCCCATGCTTGATGACATGTGACAATCTCCTTCGCGATAACATTTGTTGTGTTGGTAATGATTTATCTAAAATTATTGTGATCTGAAGGACTTTTCCCTGTAAGCGATGTCCATGCGTCACATTACTGCGGATGCCAAACACTTTCATGACTAATATGAGCGACTATACTATACTGATCCAGCCCAGTGGAGCTAGTAGCTGACATATGTTAAACATCATTGCTTTAATGGAGATTTCCGTCATAATAAGTTGAAGATTTTTATAACGGATTGAGGTTAAATTTCAGTACTGACATGGATATGAATTATTAACCTGGAATACTATAACGAAGCGCATCCATTCAGCGGAGAAGACGATGCGAGGATATGGTGTCTGCAGGAGCTTCCGAATCTCGTGGTTCCGAATTATAAAATAATTCAGTAATGATGCAAAGATAAACTTAATGTGAAATTTGTGTACATTGGAAGAAGATTTTGAAATTTTGCCATACATTTATTATCAGGCATACGTGGCTTAATAACCTGCTATGACAAGCCAAGTAATGTAACGCATAAGATAAAGGAGCATTGCCAAAGATATTTTTGTTCAAGTTTTATGTATAACCTAAACTTTGATCATCACCCAGGCCTGTCTGTACGAAGAGGCGATGAAAGTGACATGCCAGATCGAGGGCGAGAAGTACGCGGGCAGCATCGTGAAGCTGCAAGCCGCCATCAAGTACGGCGAGGAGGACCTGCCAGGGGCCAAGAGCCTCGTCGACCAGAGTCCTGACGACGACCCAGATGCTGAGGTCAACAGAGCCTGTCTGTTGTACAAGGTCAGCAAACTCGTGACATTCCTATTACTCTTCGGTGAGCGAGTATTTTGTTTGGATTGGAGTCACAAAATCGTCAACCTCAGAGTGCGTGCAAAGTAAGACCTTAGCAAATTCATCAACAAGTGATTGCTGCCACAAATACTCTGGTTATCGATACCAAAAAAAATTAAAACGAAAAAAATGATTTATTAATCAAAGCGATGCCAAATATATAATTTTTCGCAACGACCACTGAGCAGGAAGGTCGCTTCGATGAAGCCTGTCAGAAGTTCAGCGCTGCACTCCAGGTCGTCACTGGGCACCCACATCTCTCGTACAACGTTGCCTTGTGCCACTACCGCCTCAAGCAGTTCGCTCAGGCACTCAAATACATCGGTAGAGTTTTCAGTAATTACCAAAAAATCTTCTGAACCTCTCTCTTCCTACAGTTTAAAGTTATATTTTTATTAAGTGTGTGCCTGAATGTCTGGAGAAACGTATCTTCTAAAGAGCATTATAAGCATTCGATTTTTAATATGGTTCTGGACAACTGAAGAACGAAGACCATAATCAAATTTGCCTAAACAAATATTCCTTCGTACAGCGGACATCATTGAGAAGGGCATCCGCGACCACCCTGAACTGGGGGTAGGCATGACCACGGAAGGGATCGAGGTTCGGAGTGTGGGCAACACGCTGACGTTGCACGAGACCGCGCTCATCGAGGCCTTCAACCTCAAGGCTGCCATCGAATATCAGCTCAAAAACAGTGAGGACCAAATGTTTAATTTTATTAAAAACTATTAAATACAGCGTTCAAGCTGGGAGAATTCATTTTAAACATCGGTAAAGATCAACATCATTAAACTTAGTTGAATCACGATTTAATCAAACTCAAGACGTTTTCAAACAGAACAGATCATTATGTATGAGAGCAATAGAACATATTTGTAATTATATGAGCTCAATGGTGCATAGAAGATCAAATAATTGCAAAGATGGACCCACACCCACTGTCAGTGGTGAGTAGCTTTACGGTTGTGCCAATTTTTATCATGGCAAATTCTGCTATGTCTTGTAATTTATTACATCAACATTCAAACCTAGTGCTGTACAATTCTCCACGCTATTTGTGGATAGTTTAGCTATTGTAATGCTACGTGACCATCGAGCTATTGTACTGACTCCTGAAAATTTACTAATTGTATTGTCCCTTGACAGTTGAGCTATTGTATTGACTCCTGACAATTTATTTACTGTATTGTCCCTTGACAGTTAAGTTATTGTATTGACTCCTGATAATTTATTTATCGCATTGTCTCTTGACAGTTGTGCTATTGTATTGACTCCTGACAATTCAATTATTGTAATGACTGTCAACATGTGTTGTCTGGCAGTGGATGCCGCCCGTGAGGCCCTCACTGATATGCCCCCGCGTTCCGAAGAAGAACTCGACGCCGTGACTCTGCACAATCAGGTGCGTGAATTGTGAGCTTCATCTTACAGCTTACCAAATAATCAATGCTGATATTCTAACCTACTATTTTCCGATTATTAGCGAAAATTATTTTTAAAATCTTGTTTGTGTCGTTTTAAGTAGGTAAGAAATGTTGGTGTAAGCTATTATTTTCTCTTGTAGGCATTAATGAACATGGATGCTAAACCAACTGAGGGTTTCGAGAAGCTGCAATTCCTGCTGGGCCAGAATCCCTTTCCTCCTGAGACGTTTGGTAACCTGCTGCTGTTGTACTGCAAGTACGAGTACTACCACCTCGCTGCTGATGTGCTCGCTGAGAACGCACATCTCACTTACAAATACTTGACACCCGTGAGTGTTGTGTACAAGCTTAAAAACATCTTGTGGGTACATATTAGTGAAATTTGAACGCACAAAGACTTGAAGCTCAGATTATCAATGAGCTAAAAGCTCGCCATGTTTGAAGCAACTTTTGAGTTCTGGATGCAAGTAATTACCGCTGTATGTGGCAACACGAACACAAATTGGACTATTTTTTTCCTGATTAGACCTGCTAATTAGTTAGTATAGTGTAAAAACTCATTGTGTATCATTCGTTAGAACCACATGACCTTCTGCCTGTCGTTAGGCCACAGTCATAAGATAGACAAGGTGAACCACATGTCATCTTGCTTTACGTTATTCTACAATTTCAAGAAGTACAATAAAGAAAATAAGTCCCGGGGCCGAATAAATGTTCCCGAAGACCAAAGTCGAAGGAAATCAGTAGGCACATTTCATATCTATTGATTCTTACTTTATTTATTTCGAACCACGCAAGCACTTCAGCATTATATAATATTAATATAAAAGTGGACTGTTTAGAGCGTAGCGCTAGAAATATAAAAGCACTTTTCCCGTGTCTATCCACGATGATTTTCGTTTCGGGATCTTAAATGTGAATAAATTTTATTTTTATTTGTGAAAGTCGAGCCACTGAAAAGTGGAAGACGGGAGAGATAAATACACAAATTTAGAAGTTTCAAATTTTGTTATTATGAAAGGAAGAACAACAGTTCTGTATTTGTTCCCTCTTGTGACAGTATTTGTTCGATTTCCTGGACGCGCTGATAACGCAACAAACGTCGCCGCCGGAAGCCTACCGTAAGTTCGACGAGCTCGGGTCCCGGCACATCGAACTGCTGAGGAAGCTCACGAAAACTGTACAGGAGGCGCGCCAGAACCACGACGACGAGCAGGTCAAGAACGCAGTCAACGAATACGAGGAGGTGCTGGACAGGTTCGTGATGTGACAGGTTCGTGGTGTGACAGGTTCGTGGTGTGACAGGTTCGTGGTGTGGCAGGTTCATCGTGTGACAGGTTCGTGGAGTGACAGGTTCGTGGTGTGACAGGTTTGTGGTCTGACAGGTTAGTGGTGTGACAGGTTCGTGGTGTGACAGGTTCGTGATGTGAAGGGTTCGTGGTGTGACAGGTTCGTGGTATGACAGGTTCGTGATGTGACAGGTTCGTGGTGTGACAGGTTCGTGGTGTGACAGGTTCGTGATGTGACAGGTTTGTGGTGTGACATGTTCGTGGTGTGACAGGTTCGTGGTGTGACAGGTTCGTGGTGTGACAAGTTCGTGGTGTGACAGGTTCGTGGTGTGACAGGTTCGTGATGTGACAGGTTCGTGGTGTGACAGGTTCGTGATGTGACAGGTTCGTGGTGTGACAAGTTCGTGGTGTGACAGGTTCGTGGTGTGACAAGTTCGTGGTGTGACAGGTCCGTGCTTGATAGGTTCGTGATGTGACAGGTCAATCCTTAATTGTGCTTAAAAGACATACACTGCAGAAAAAAAGTTAAATTAAGAAACGAAGCCCCTCTGGCTCCATTTCTTTTCGCAGTTGATAAGTCCGCATTCTCAATTCTTTATTCGCCAGAATTATTTCAGACATTCGTTTAGCGTGAGATGAAACCATAATAATTTGTATTTTTTGTTGATTTTGCAGGTATATCCCGGTGCTGATGGCTCAGGCGAGGCTCTACTGGGAGCTGGAGAACTACCCTCAGGTCCGTGCTGGAGTTGCGGCCTATTTTCCAGTAGAGGAACTCAAAAATGTTCACTTCACGTTTGTTATTGCTGATTTATGAGGATCAATTTCTAAGTTGGTCAATGATTGTAAATTTTTGCTATCATGGGGAATAGTTTTGATGCTACTATTTTAGAATTAATTGAATTTACCACTATTCTCTTAACTCGAATGTGATTCAATTAGGCCACTTTTAAATGATATCCGAATAAAATTATAAAATTACCTCTTTACGAACAAATTTCTCTAAAACAATATATATCTTCGACACATTGATATGCAAAGTTTTCAGAACTATCTACAACAACTATTTTCCGATTTCTGACAGTTGATTTTGTTACATTAGAACATCAGTATAATTAAAATTGGGCATCGGGCTATTCAATTAGGGATTGGCTCTTATACGATTTTTTATATTTTAACTTAAATGACATTCGAAGATGCTCTGTTATGATAGACTCTCCGCATGTTCGATTGTCACTTTCGTAAAAATGAACATTTGCATGAATGCCAACGCTGCATTTTTTTTTTAGCTCGGTACTAAAGTTCGTGACCGCTAGTGAGCGGCAGCTTGCGTTCGACAGAGACCTCGACCAACTTTTTCCCCGATTACCTACCTTTCTAACATTAAACCTTCTTCCTACAAATGTCAGTTATCATTGTCGCCAATTTTAGTACACTAAACCACTAATCCACAACAATTTTATATCCTTTAAAGGTTGAGAAAATTTTTCGCAAGAGCGTGGAGTTCTGCAACGAGAGCGACGTGTGGAAGCTGAACGTGGCACACGTGCTCTTCATGCAGGAGACCAAGTTCAAGGAGGCCACGGGCTTCTATGAACCCATCGTCAAGAAGCATTATGATAACGTGAGTTATAGATCATGTTACAGCTTAATGTTATTGATGAATGTCATAGCTAAATGTTACTGTTGATTGTTATAGCTCAATGCTACTGCTGATTGTTGCGGCTCAACGATACAGCTCAATGTTATTGCTAAATGTCATAGCTCAATGTTACTACTGATTGCTACAGCTCGATGCTACTGCTAATTGTTGCGGTTCAATGATACTGCTCAATGTAATTGTTAAATGTCATAGCTTTATGTTACTGCTGATTTTTATAGATCAATGTGACTGCAGATTCTTGCTGCTCAATGATACCGCTCAGCGTTATTGCTGAACCATACAGCTCCAAGTTACTACTAAATCTTATTAAAACAGTCATGCAGAGGGTGCTATGCATTTCCTATTAAAAATTTAGCGCAATGTATAATCGAATGTGCGTGGTTAAAAACTACCTCAAAAATCCGCATTTGTATTGAATGTAAAGTAATTCATATTTCGTATACCAGAATATCATACGACACTTTCAGCACGCCTCTGAATATTTTACATCGAAATTCAATTCTCTGGAGAACAAATCGATCGCAATCCTTCTGACGTTATTGTTAAGTGTCCAGGTGTCAGATACTGATAAATGTTCAGCAATTTGTGTGTTGTGGGGCCAGATCTTGAGTGTGAGCGCCATCGTGCTGGCCAATTTGTGCGTGTCGTACATCATGACGAGTCAGAACGAGGAGGCCGAGGAACTCATGCGCAAAATCGAGAAAGAAGAAGAGCAGCTCGCGTATGAAGATCAGGACAAGAAAATTTACCATCTGTGCATCGTCAACCTCGTGATCGGGTGAGCATCAATCCTTGTAGCTCATGTACAAAAATAGGGGGAAATTGTCGCGGAAATTGAATGGGGGAACACCTTGTAAATGGCCTTGATGATCAGAAGTTTCTTTTTTTTTATTCTCTTATTCAACTGACAGTTTCACTACTTGCAGCTATATAGGTACAAACTATAATAGAAGAGTGAACTTCAAGTGTTGGTATGATAATAGGTTAATACACAACATTTTCTTAATTACCGCGTTTAAATGCCCAGTCCCAAAGAATTGCGTCGCTTTGACACCTTGTTTGATCTCTCTTGCAGGACATTGTATTGCGCGAAAGGCAACTATGAATTTGGCATATCCAGGGTTATCAAAAGCCTAGAACCGTACAATAAGAAGCTTGGTCCTGATACATGGTAAGTAAAGCCTAAATATCGCACTTAAAATAATATCTCGTATACGTGTACAATGATTAATGTGCTCAATTGTTTTACCTATGTATTGTTTTACTGCGCTCAATCATTGTAACAATCAAGAAGAAGTTGAAATAGTTGTTGTACAATCTTTTTGGCGTTACAATTGTAACGTTCACGAAGAAATTGAAACAGTTATATGTTGTACAATATTTTTGACACCGAAAAAGAAATTGACTTCCATTACAAAAATGTCATTCGTTGTACGGAAAAAGCAATCGAGCACTTATTCCAACACTGAATGTTAAACTTTTCGCACCAGCGGTCCCCTCCTCTTCTGCTCGACGGTTACACTTGGTCTGTCATCAAAGCTCGCGGGCAAGGCGACAAAGAAGCGTCTTCCGTTGCAGTTCAATGTAACTTGAGAGGCTAATATGCAGAAACATTTTTATTGGTAGTTATTGGATCGTTTCATTACGACTATCGGCATTTTGAGAGCATATAGTGTTCGATTCATCTTGCTTAACATATTATCAACTTCATTGAACTATACGGACGAAAAGATGCTGCCGAGCTGGAGGGTTGTCAGACCAGACACCGTCGTTGCAGAGGAATTGAATTAAAGTCCATTGAATTAAAGATGTGCTTATCAAATCTTGTGTACTTCAGGAGAAAGTTTACGCGGTGGAAGTCAGGGTGATGGCGGTCTTAGTAAAATTAGGAGTACATCAAGGGAAAGGTTACACTGGGTGGTCAGGGTGATGACGGTCCGAGTAAAATTAGGTATAGACACAAGGTACCTAGGTGTAGGTAGCTGTAGTAGGTAGGTGGAGCCCGGTGCTCGACGAGCACGCACTTCGTCGTACAATAATACTTCGTCCAAATGAGTACAATACTTTTTAGCGCATTTTCTCATTTACGGAAAAAATGCACTATTGTGCTCGCCATGTCCGTCTGTCTGTCCGTCCATCTGTCTGTCCGTCCGTCTGTCTGTCCGTCCGCCTGTCCGTCCGTCCGTGACCTCAAGTTTTGGTCGACGAGAAAATGAGCTCTCTGTCACTCACTGCTGTGAGTACTGAGTAATACTTTTTTTTCTTCAGGTACTACGCTAAGCGCTGCTTCTTATCGCTCATCGAGAATTTGTGCAAGCAAATGATCACCGTCAAGGATTCAGTTCTGCAGGATTGTAAGCAGTTCCTCGAACACTGTGAAGGTAAGAATAACGATTGAAGAATGACTTATTTTTATTTTAATTACTGTCGCAAAATATACTAACTTGTTTCTATTCATAATTATGATTTACTCTCACTGCTGTAATGATGCCAAATTTTCAATATTAATAAATACCGTAAATTTTCTGAAGATTACGAAAATAAAATTCAAGTCACTGTCTTTGCTGTGGGAGGTAATTGAGAATGTATAATGTTCCTAATTTTACTTTTTTTCTAGGGAATTATTCCAACTTATATTACTTATTTTATTCTCCTATTCATACTCTGTTAATATTCCTTGAAACTTTTTTTCTCAGCGTACGGCCGTGACGTGAAGACTCAGATCGAGCAGCCCCTGGAGGAGACGTCTCCGCATCCTGGACGCAACACTGTCACCTACGAGGCACGCATGCTGAAGGCACTTCTCTTGCAGCTTGATAGAATTTAATTCAGGCAATTAAACCGTTATTTATTATTTATATCCAATATAAGGCCTTGAGTCGAATGCGTTAATTGGGGTAACACTACCTTAAAAGCTAAGATATGTACATGAAAATTAGTTTAACATATATTAGAGGAATTTGTTAATAATATTTTGCATAATCGAGATTTTTAATCGCCTTGAGGGCTTCAAAGACAAAATCAATGCACCATAAAGTTAGCATGAATTAAAATGGATAAATGAGGCGTCCTGCTTGAAAGGGAAAGTACGCTTAAGTGCATACTTGTTCAATTTAGAAATTTCCCACTAATATTTCCGTACAATTGAGCATTTCTTGCGTCCGCATTGCATAGTTCAGTATCCCTACTTTTTGTGTGATTTTGCCAGCGACGATTTGTTTCGTTAGTTTATTTCGCATAACTTCATATCTGGACTACTGTAATAAAACAATTAGTGGGATATATTCACAGTCCCATCTATTTATTATCCTTGTACATGGTAAATTCCTTTGATTTTTTAGTGTCATCATATCTGGTTCGGGGGCACGGAGCGGAGCGACCCACGCGCGTGCAGCGCCCATAGGCTTTACCATGCCATTGTTGGATACGCTCTGTCGTTCCAGAACAGCCTTGTATGAGCATATTTTTTCTGTTCAAACTTGTCTAGCTC